AGGGGCTCAGTAATATTGCTGTAACCCAGATGAATTAACCATAGGTGAATAGTAGATATCAGAATGGATGGAAGGTATGGGTATTAGACAAGGTTGTTCTTCCCCAAGTCACAATGAATTTTATCAGTCCTATCTCTATGTAGCATGGGGCCCATGGGTTGAAGCAAAATCAGCAATCCTGGCCAATTTATGGCTGGAAATTATTAACTAAGTGGTGGACTTTGTCAAGTGTGGAAAATAAGGATGGGGACCCCTCAGCTTCCTGGGCATCACAAGGTGGGACTCTGGCCCTGGGTGTGCTTAGGAGCCAAGGTCTGGGGACCTGGCTGGGGAACAGTTTCTAGTAAACCTATCACTAGGATCCCTTCCCATAGCATAGAGTCTGATTCCCCAGGTTTTCCCTGTTTCTCAAAGGCCAGGAAAAAAAAATTAAGGCATTTTCTAAGAAGCCTCCATTTCACAACACCGAAACTTCCTTGTTCCTGTCAACTACAGGGGCCAACAGTGGGTAGTCTTCAAACATAAACTCTGTATTCTTATCTCAAAAGATTAACTCCCATATCTTTCCTTTCTATAGTACAACCAGACATTTAAAGCAGTGAATAAAGGTCAAGATGAATATGGGTTGCTACACTAGCCAATACCTTCCTTATATCAGTCTTCCTTAGTTCCCAGGTCCAGACCTGAGGGTAGTGGGGATTAGACCATACTCCTGTATTCATACCAAACGCAAGTCTCATGAGGTAGAGGGGCAGGGAATGGAAGGGCCTGGTACCTGATGAAATCTTGATCTTAATGGGTCCATAGTCAGGGAAACAGTACATTTGGCAGCAGTGTCTGCTTTCTTGACTTGAGTGTGGTCAGTGCTAACTATCTTAACAGCCATACAAGTGGGGAGAATCCCTGTGCAGAGTCCTTTTCAAGTTGGCCCCAGTGCCTCTTTGGCTACTACTTGACGCAGATGGTATCACTGAACTCAAACATGGGAAACTAGTGACAGAATTGGAGGTGGACAGAGTCTCTTGGATAGTCCAATGAACTGGAGTGCCTATAATGACTTGAAAAAGGAATGTTTGGAGAGTTTTTCTAACTGCTGGTCTGAACCTGGGAAGCAGTGGGTAGGTCTTCAAATATAATCTCATAGAGAATAAATCTCTCTGTCCCTATGTGGGGTACAGCAGACCCAAAGCACAGCACAGGAAGGAGGTCTGTTCACCCTTAACTAGACTCCAATGAGAGTTTTGTTTGAATTTTTTAAATGTCCCATTTTTGGTGTTGCTGTTTTGTTTTGTTCTGTTTTTTACCTGCCAGGAATTCTGAGCTCTATATACACAATGACGTTTTCAACCTATGTATAAAGCTGAAGCTCTTAATTGAGGTTTGGGCTATGAAAGTCAGGCCATTGTTCCCATTGCTAGGGGGGAGTCCTGGAGGAGCTCCCCAGTGTCCCCCCCCATCTTAGTTTTTCAAGACAAAGTTTCTCTGTGCAACTTCCCTGACTGTCTTGGAACTCACTTTGTAGACCAGGTTGGGCTCGAATTCTCAGAGATCCACCTGCCTCTACCTCCGGAGCTACTATTTGAACAGTTTCAATCTAAGTGGGAAAAGCTTCTACCCATACAGAAAAGGCATTTATAAAAACTAGAAAATACTTTTATCTTCCCCTGCCAGACGAGATTTCAATGAAGTCAGTTTTCCCAAAGTTCACTGCAGTGTTGGCCTCTCAATTGGACCCCTTCCTGGGTAAGGGCTCTCTGCTTTGGAGTCTCTTGAGCACATACCTGGTATCTGGCTGAGATATTGCCTACTAGTCTAGGTATAACATACCTTGGTTTCAGCCACGCAGAAAGTTTTGTGAGTAGCCTGGTGAAGGTCAGTTACCAGAGTCCTGTCAGTTGTTTCTGGGTCCTCCACCAACCTGTGGGCTTGAGCTGTCCATTCCTCCCTCTGGTTGTACATGGAGTCTCAGGCCGCACCAGGCTGGTGTATGTCATCAGAATATCAGTAGGCCCCCACTGGTCTTAGGGCCTTTTGACAGGCAGCCATGTCAGTGGCCCTGCTACCTCTTGCCTCAGGGGAGTCATCTTTTTGATGTCCTTGAAGTGGAACAGTGAAGGATAGCAATTTGCTGGGGGGGGGGTGCAAATAGCTTCTAGGAGGGTCAAGATTTTCTCCTTGTTTTTTAATGTCCTTTCCCCCAGTGGGGAGAAGCCCTCTTTCCCTGTTGATCATACTGTGGATATGCACAGTAGTAAAAGGCATGGTGACTGTCCATGTGCATGATGGTGGACTCACTCTCCTTTTTCCCTCCTGAGAGCCTGGGTCAGATCAATCAGTTCTGAGCTGTAGGCTGAGGTACCTGGCGTGGGCCCAAACTGTTTCAGTTAAAGTAACTGCTGTAGCTCCCACGCACCTGGCTTCATCTTTCAGTTCATTAGTCATGGGTGAGCACTTGTAGGTCATCGTCGGGCAAGAGGAAAGCAGGATTGATTGTGGTAGGTTTTCAAACTAGACTTAAAGGTGGTCCAGGAGTAGAACCTGATACTGGGTCACACAGGCATTACACAGCCAGTGTTCTGGTGTTCCTCAGAGGAGGGCCTCAGTGGCATGGGGTCTGTGAGTATAAGTTGGCCCAGAGCTAACTTATTTTTCTTCCATTAGCTCTTCGATAGGTGGGCCATCCTGCGGCTACAGGGTCCAATTATTTAAACAGATATGTCACAGTATGTTTCCACAGCCCCAAAGTGTGTGTTAAAACCCCTTCTGTAATGTCTTTTCTTTCATGGACAAACAGATGAAAAGGTTTTGAGGCATCTGGAAGTGCTGGGGCTGAAGCTGAAGTGGGAGCTGTTTTTAAAGCCTCAAATGCCTCTTGTTTAGATTCAGTCCAGAGGAGGGATTCAGTGTCCTGCTTTGTGCTGGTATATAGGAGCCTTACTATTCTACAAAGCCTGGTATCCAGACACAACAATACCTAGCTACACCTAGGACCTCTCAAACCTGCCTCTTAAGTCTTTGGAGTTGGGATCTGAAGGGTGGCAGCGGGCAGACTCTGAGACAGGCTCCCTTTGCTACCTCTCAGCTGGTAGCCAAGGTAGGTAGCCTCTGATGTACAAAGTTGAGCTTTCTCAGTTGAAATTTTGCAGTCCAGGGTCTGTGACTCTTGCAGCAGTCCCTCAGTGACCTTTCATCATCTATTGCCCCCAGGAAACCTCTGGTTGAAGGGCAGAAGGTCAGCCTTTAGTGCCTTATCAAACAGGGTTGGAGAATTTTAAATATTTGGGGCAACATGTTCCATGTAAATTGCCCACTATAAACTCTCTCTGGGTCTATCCTTTTAAAAGCAAAGATGGGTTGACTCACCTCTGCCAATTGGAGGCAGAAGAATGCATCTTTCAGATCCAAGACAATGCACACCTCTTTCTCTGAAAGAATCAGACTCATGAAAATCAGAGGTTCCAGGTTTCTTCACAGGCAGGAGAAGTGTATTCCAGGGTAGCTGGTAGGGCACCAGATGCCTGTCTCTCTAAGTTGGGCAATATTGACTGCAATTCTTCTTTTGTTTAATCTGGGCGGGGGTAGATGAACTGGTTGATTGGACATTTAATTATAGGAATTCGGTGTTTGGGTAGACCTAGGGTTTGTCTCTTCCCATAGCACTGGGAATCTTTGTTGTCAATCTGAGAATTCCACTGTATCTTTTGATTATGGGTAGGACTTTCAGTGAGGAGATATTCTTTCAACAGAGGGCAAGACACCACAATGTTGCTGGGTATCTGTAAGTCTAATTGCATGCCATCATCAGAGAAGTGATGGTGTTCTGCAAAAGCTATTGTCCTAATCAGCTCTCTGATGTTAAACACCTTTTGAGCTACCTCCAGCAACTGGAACCTACTTACACCTTTAACTTTTTAAAATTTTATAACTTTTTTTCTAATACCTAGGGCCTACAGGGTGACAAAATAAAAAATTTTTAGCAGCTATATTTAATCTTTGAAAAAGGACTAGTTAAAATTGTTTAAAGTTTCCTTGGTCAGAGTTGGACAGAGGGAAAATGTGTTCTGTCCAGCAGTGATTTCACCACCACCAAAAGCAAAAGCAGAACGACCTAAGCCAAAAAGGTTAGTACGTTTAGAGACTTTCCCAGAACTATGGACTTTGGTGGATTAGACCTTTGTTTTCATTTTGGCAGATGATAATGTCTACGTGATGAGTTTTATAGCCTGAGTGGTATTTCCATCATGGAGTCAGCTGTGCTAAGGTCTGGGGCCCTGTTACAGTATACATTTAGCATCAGCCAAGCTGGGTTGGACCAGTGGTCCTATGTGTGAGCCAGCACTCCTTACAGCCTGACAGCAAAAACACGGTAGGCATTTCATATTTCTTTGATATCTCCAGTAGGAGTGTAGATGAAGAAGCTGCTAATTATGCCTTCAAATCTCTAAAATGGATGAATAAATTCTGCTCAGGTAAAATAAACATGAAACTTAAGGTAGGGCTGAAAGAAAATCCTTTACTTGAAGAAATAAGATTTTTAAGTAGCCAGGCATTGGTGGCATACGCCTTTAATCCCAGCACTTGGGAGGCAGAGGCAGGCAGATCTCTGTGAGTTCAAGACCAGCCTGGTCTACAGAGCAAGTTCCAGGATAGCCTCCAAAACAATACAGAGAAAACACTGTCTCGAAAAACAACAACAACAAAAAAGGTTTTTAACTAAAAACTGACATTCTTTAGAATCCAAAATCACTAGAGACAAAATTCTCAACAAAAGACAGGGTTAAATCTAAGAAAAAGTTTATGATGTGCTGTCTCCTTCACAAGATCTCCAGCAAAGGTCTGCCTTGGTGCTTGAAATTTCACTAGTAAGAAGTTACTTTGTCAGGAGGTCTTCGTTTCAACAAACTCTTATTAGAACTCAGGTAAGAACATAAAGTATAATGTCACTGTAGGTGGCTAGGGCTGCTCCTAAAGTCAGCAATCAGTAAAAACGTAACACTGGGTAAGTTGCAGAAAGCATATTTTAATAATCAGACATCAGAGGAAGTGATGTTCAGTGTGGGGACAAGCCCACTTCTTCAGCTCTCCAGGTTCTCCTAGAAAGAACAGTGACAATCTTAGTCAAAAAGACTGTCCTTAGGAACTGTCTAAGAATCCAGGGAACTATCTGTAGATAATACCAAGGACAACCACATCTTAAGAAGTACTTGGAAATAGTGGAAACTCTCTAGATTATTAAGATATAGGCTTAGTGTTTGTTTTCTAATGAGAGGGACAAGAAAGGATGTGAATTTGAGTGGGTGGATGGGAAGATGTAGAACTCTTGGAGGCGTTGGGAGAGGAGAAACTAGAATATAGTATATGAAAAAAATCTATTTTCAGTTTTAAAAACTATTTTTAAATAAAGGTGCCTGTGGTGATAGCTCATGCCTTTAATTCCAGTATTTGGGGGGCAGAGGCAGGTGGATCTCTGAGTTCGAGACCAGCTTGGTCTACAAAGCAAGTTCCAGGACAGACAGAGCTATGTGAAAAACCCTGTCTGAAAACAAACAAACAAAAAGACAGAATGTTCCCTACAGTCAACTGTAGATAAGAAAACTGTTTTTTTCTATTGAAAAACATTTTTTCATGCAATTTTTATCATGCAATTCATCCCAGGTGCTCCCCAGATCCTTACCCACCCAACTTTATGTTCTTTCTCTCGCTCCCTTTAAAAAGACCAAAACAACAAGAAACACACATACACACACACACACACACACACACACACACACACACACACACTAAAATAGAAATATAAAAGACCAATAAGAGAAATAAATTTCCAAACAAAATAAAATCAGGCATAAAGTCTACAAAAATATCATTGAGTTTGTTTTGTATTGGCCAACTACTTCTGGGCATGGGGTCTACCCTGAAGTATGGTTAATAGACCCAGTGAGATTCCATCAGAAAAAAACAACAACTAAATTTTAGTTTGTCAGCAGGTATCAATTGTGATTGGCTTCTTGGTTAGGGGTGGGAGTACGTGTTCACTTCTTCGTCTCAGGGCTGGGATCGTCTCAGGGCTGGGATTACATTTGGCTTGAAGCTATGCAGGCTGCCTCAGTCTCTGTGAGGTCATATGTGCATTAGTCCTGGTGTGTCTGAAAGACACTGTTTCACAAACTTGGTTTTCCTAGGTAATATTAAGATTTATTCTAGGGGCTGGGAAAATGCCTCGATAGGTAAAGTGCTTACCATGAACACAAGCATGAGGATCTATCTGAGTTCAAATCCCCAGAGTGCATGTAAAGATGGATATGGTAGTATGCACCTGTAATCCCAGTGCTCCTACAGTAAGGTGGGTGGCAGAGACAGAATTCCAGACATTCATGGACCAGCTAGCCTGGCATATGCAATGAAACTAAAAAAGACCTTGTATTAAACATAGTGAAAGGCAAGGACTCACTAACATCCAAGGTTGTTCTCTGGTCTCCACATATGAGCTGTGGCATGCACATGCATGAACTCAGGAGTATTCAAACATATCACATACACACACACACACACACACACACACACACACACACAGAAGATTATTCTAACTTTCCTCAATACATATTAAAGATGTTCAGGAACGAAGACTTAGAAATGTACCAGGCTGAGATGAGAACTCTACCGTCAATATACTTTATAGCTGATCATATATGGTAGAGATTAGCCTTACAGCCAGTGGTCAACATTTCAGGCAGCATTGTCCAACCCTCACAGGCTGAGCTTTTATTTCCTTTTTCCATGACAACTTACAGAAAGGTTAATAATTAAGAGTTCCAGTTATTAGAACCAAAACAGCACAAATGCCTAGCAAAGTGTAGGTGGGACTTAGCAAAAACTTACCCATCCCCCTTGATGCTGGATAAATTCTCGGATGGCTGTGTCCCCATTGATCATGCCCGTCATGCAAGTAGCCACCTGTCTTGCCATTTCAGGAGCCTTACGGACCACATATTCAAGAAGTTTCACTGACACTGCCAGAAAGGCTCTTTCAAAGACTACGGTGGGGTCTTGAGTACACCAGGCCATGCTGAGAGACTGGACTATGTCCTTGAGTACAGTTCCTGCCTGAGGAGGGAGACGGGCTCTGTCAGTATGATTCAAACAAGCCTGGCGTCTGCAAGAGTAAGAGGTGCTCTTCAGGAAGTGGCCAATGTACCATTGGTAGTCTGAGGGCATATTAGAGGACAGATTGACAAAGTTCTTAGTTTTAGCATTTTGATACTTTAATATTAGAAAAACATTAAATAACTTACCAAGGTCATGATTTCAGATATCATTGGGTAAAATGAACAAAATACTGTGAAAGAAAGTTATTGAGCTGGAGAGATGGTTCAGTGGTTAAGAGCACTGGCTGCTCCTCCATAGGACCCGAGTTCAATTCCCAGCACCCACATGGCAGCTCACAGCTGTCTGTAACTCCAGTTCCAGCAAGATCTAGCATCCTCACACAGACATAAATGCAGGCAAAACATCAATGCATATAAAATAAAAATAAATAAATTTTAAAAAGCTACTAAGCACAGGCCAAACTGACATTTCTGTGATTAGGAAATATTTAGCAAAGTCTAAAGTTAAAAAACAAAAAAAAAAACCTCTTCTTTTTCCCCCTCCCAAATAAATTGGTAGAAAAGCTATTAGGTGGAGCCAAGATAGATCTTTGAGGTATAAAGGGACCCAGTACTTGTCAGATCAGAACTTTAAATCTTAAAAAAGCTAAGAAAAAAAATAGCTTCAGAAGGTACCTATGTCTGAGGTTTGTTATTTGTTTGTTGTTTTTACATCTATGCACTTACTTACTTATTTAATGTGTGTGTGCACATGCCACAGTGTACATGTGTTAGTCCAAGGACAACTTGCAGGTGTTAGCTCTCTCCTTCCACATGTGCATCCTGGGGACCGATCTCAAGCTCTCACAGCAGCTGGTAATTCTACCCAGTCATATCTCATGGGTCCTCTATCCTAGTTTCTAAGTACCATTTTTCACTGAAAGACACCAGAGTTGCCTGGAGAAAGTTTAGTTTAAGACTTTCTGCTAGAAATTAAGCAAATTTGAAACATGACAAAGAGGCAAGTCATGTGTTTCTGTCAACAAGATAGGACAAACTCAACTTTATTCAGGGATCTTCAATAACATCATCTTCAAATGTCAAGGTTGTAAAATATATGAAAAGATGCCAGCAGTGATAGCGCACACCTTTAATCCCAGCACTCGGGAGGCAGAGGCAGGAGGATCTCTGTGGGTTCGAGACCAGCATGGTCTACAAGAGCTAGTTCCAGGACAGCTTCCAAAGCCACAGAGAAACCCTGTCTCAAAAAAAAAAAAGAAAAAATATATATGAAAAGACTGAAGGATCAATACATACTGAAGGAGACTAGAAAACATAACTAAATGCCACATGTGAACCTGGCTTGGATAATTTGCCATAAATTATATTGTTGGAAAAATGGCAAAAATTGAGTGGATTATCCAGGTGATGGTAGTGCCTTTAATTCCAGCACTCAGAAGGCAGAGGCAGGTAGATCTATGTGAGTTTGAGGTCAGCCTGATCTACAGAGCAAGTTCTAGGACAGCCATGGCTACACAAGGAAACTCTGTCTCAAAAAACAAATCAAAACAAAACAACAAATTAGTGAACTCTAAGGATTCAATACTACTATAATATTATTAATTTTCTGAGTTTGATGGTTACATTGTGGTTCTATAAAAGAATGTCCCTATTTGAAGGAAGTATAAAAGTATTAGAGTGAGGAACTATCCTATTAATTACTCTCAAATGACTAGAGAAATTCTCTACACCAGCAGTTCTCAACCTATGGGTTATCACCCCTTTTTATGGGTGTGTTGAATGATCCTTTCACAGGGGTCACCTGAGACCATTGGAAAATACAGATATTTACATTACAATTTATAGCAGTAGCAAAATTGCAGCTATGAAGTAGCAATGAAAATAAATTTATGGTTGGGAGTCACCACATTAGGAACTGTATTAAAGAGTTGCAGCGCTGGGAAGGTTTATGGTTGGGAATCACCACATTAGGAACTGTATTAAAGAGTTGCAGCATTGGGAAGGTTGAGAACCACTGCTCTCTAGCATGTTTCCAACTTGAGTTTGAAACTGTTTCAAATGTCTTTTTTTCCTTATTGTTGTTGTTAATGCTTTGTTTTGTTATTGTTCTAAATACAGAAGAAAAAGTAGACCTAGCTAGCAGCCACATATGATAGCCTCAAGGACAGTAGATAGAAGTAAGATTCTGTCTGAATGTAACACAAGCATATTCCCTATGCTGTCCGTTAGGAAGAATAAAGTGTGCCTCTGAAATCATCTGGGTTCAAATCCTAGCTTTAACATTTACAGAGTACGTTTCTTACTTGTTTCCTTATGCCTCCATTCTTTGTATGTTTAAATGGTATCAAGTACATTTTGCAGACCTATTGTGTATAAGGAACAATTCAAAATTATATGAATACAGGAAGGAGGAAATCAGGTTTGATATTTGCTCTCATGGAGTTGGATGTGCTGATTGAGAAAGGTCTCTCTAAGAATAACAGCTGTGTAACAATCCACACATTAGTGCAATGATTAAACAATGAAACATGGTCATGAAAAGCACTAGCTGCTGTTGTTGACATAATCAGCAACATGCACTGGAACACTGTCTTATGCTCTTTATAGCTATACAGAGTCCAAGGGCTGCTGCCAATAATTAAGAGTTCTGATGAGAAGCCAGCAAGACTTCTTTAAGGGTTTATCTTGAATTGCATCAGACTTCTAAACTGTGCAATATTTCTAATCTTACTACTGGACCCTGGGATGAGGGGAGAAGCCCACTCCCAGCAAAGTTAAGCATTAAAAATATGAATGATGGGGCTGTTGAGATAGGACAAGAATTAAAGATATTTGTCACACTAACCTGGTGACATGAATACAATCCCTGGAACCTACACAAAGGTGGAAAGGGAGAACACCACAAAATTGTCCTTTGGCCTCCATAGATATGCAGTGGCACATGTGTCCCTCTCCCCGCACCACACACATACGAAGAAGAGGAGGAGGAGGAGGAGGAGGAGGAGGAGGAAGAAGAAGAAGAAGAAGAAGAAGAAGAAGAAGAAGAAGAAGAAGAAGAAGAAGAAGAAATATACATAAAGGATTATTTTCCAATAGTAAACTATGAGTGAGATCTATGCACACTAAAGGCAGTTCTGATGAAGCCTATGAGTTCCTTCCTATAGTACCAGGTTTTCATTAATGTCTAGAGAATTAGCCATCATGTTTCCTTCTATAGCTTCTTGAGCAAACATAAACCTCCAAATCTTCACAAAACACTTCTATTCCTAGTATATAGAAATAAACAGACAGCAAGGAAGGAAGGAAGGAGAAATTTTAAGTTTGAAATAGAACAAACAGCAGACAATATTAAAAATAAAAAAATCTGACCTGTCCTTGAACGGTTCCTGCAATGACATTATTGGCAGAAGCTTCCAATTCTCCATTGAACTGGTCACCCAGCATTCGAAGGCGGCCAGCAATAATAGACACATCAAAAGAGCAAGCCTCTCCTAAGACAAAGAAAATGCTTTTACCATACTTGAAGGAATGGGAAGTCTCCTGAATCTTCACAAAAAAGAAATGTTCTCATTTTTTGGTTTGTTAAAACATGGTTTCTCTGTATAGCCCTGGATGTCCTGGAACTCACTCTGTAGACCAGGCCTGCCTCAGTTACATTCTCTGGTTTTGTTTTGCTTTCTAGACAGGGTTTCTCTGTGGCTTTGGAGGCTGTCCTGGTACTAGCTCTTGTAAACCAGGCTGGTCTCAAATTCACTGAGACCCGCCTGCCTCTGCCTCACCGTGTGCTGAGACTAAAGGCATGTGTCACCAACGCCCTGCCCATTCTCCACTCTTTGAAACAGTTTTGGCATTGTTTGTTCTCAGTAGTTGCAGTCAGACAATCTTTTTTATTGAGAAGGCTTTTAAAACTCAAGAGGAGCCGGGCATTGGTGTTACACACCTTTAATCCCAGCACTCAGAGGACAGAGGCAGGTGGATCTCTGTGAGTTCGAGACCAGACTGGTCTACAGAGCGAGTTCCAGGACTGCCTCCAAAACAATACAGAGAAACCCTGTCTCAAAAAACCAAACCAAGCCAAACCAAACCAAATAAAACAAAACAAAAAACCCCAAAACTTAAGAGGAAACAGAGAAAGCATGGTCTGACTCCATTACCCACCTGTGCTCACTCGCCTCAGACTAGGGACCTTACCTGAGTATGTTTCGTCTGAATCCCCTAGATTCCGGCTAGCAACCTGTAATGTTGGGGTCGAAAAGTCTACGAGTAGAGCATTCATGACGCATTCTGTTTGCTCCTCAAAAGTCCGGGGGTTTTTCATTTTAGACATTTTTCACAAACAAGTGGTTTTCTGCTCAGCAGAAGGTTAGAGAACCTGGCAAACCAGTTGCACCTGCCTGCCACTTATTGGTTCCTAACTGGGTATGTCCTAGAATTGTTCCCACCTTTTTTTTTTCAAGAGTAACTGCTCAAAAAGGTACAAATTCTCTCAATACAAAGAATTTTCAGTTCCGTATCTCTGAACCATATCCTCACAAGTACATAAGATTAATGAATAACTTTTATAGAAAAAGAAACTATAACTAAAATAGAATTGAGGAAGATCCTCTTGAGCAAGTTTCTTAGGAAATACTTCCTGGAGCTGACAGTCACCAAAGGCCACCTCTGAGCTGGGGGACTTCACCCTTCACACCTCCCTACCTAGTGCACTGGGCCTCACCCTGCTTCTGCAGAAGATTTCAACACTAAACTTGCACAATGTCTTTAAAACCAAGAGCAGTGGATTTTGATGAAACATGGAACAACTTCCTAACTCCAGTCAAAGTTGTTACTATCCTGGAATATGCTTAATGTATGGCCTATCCTGAACCACTTGGAGAAAGGCTTTATGCAGAAACAAAGTTTGAGTTTTTTTTAAATCATGTTTGTCATGATTAATGGACATAAAATAAAATTAAATGTTATAACATTACAATAACCTAGTAATTATATGTACATTAAAATGATAAACATGATGTTACTGCTTGTCAAATAAAAAAAGAAACAGATGCCCTTTTAATTTTTTTGAGATTTATTATGTATAGTGTTCTGCCTGCATGTATGCCTGCATGCCAGAAGAGGGCACCAGATCTCATTATAGATGATTGGGAGCCACCATTGTGGTTGGAGAATGGTCTTAATCTTCAAACCATCTCTCCAGCTCCCAGAATCATCATCATCATCATCTTCTTCTTCTTCTTCTTCTTCTTCTTCTTCTTCTTCTTCTTCTTCTTCTTCTTCTTCTTCTTCTTCTTCTTCTTCTTCTTCTCCTCCTCCTCCTCCTCCTCCTCCTCCTCCTCCTCCTCCTCCTCCTCCTCCTCCTCCTCCTCCTCCTCCTCCTCCTCTTCTTCTTCTTCTCCTTCTCCTCCTTCTCCTCCTCCTCCTCCTCCTCCTCCTCCTCCTCCTCCTCCTTCTTTCTTTCTTTTTTTTTTTTTCGAGACAGGGTTTGTCTGTGGCTTTGGAGGCTGTCCTGGAACTAGCTCTTGTGGACCAGTCTGGTCTCGAACTCACAGAGATCCACCTGCCTCTGCCTCCCAATTGCTGGGATTAAAGGCATGCGCCACCAATGCCCGGCTTCTTTTTTTTTTTTTTTATTTAGAAACAATCTTATTTAACATATCAATCCCAGTTCCCTCTCCTTCCCATCCTCCCATGACCTCTACCGACCCCCCATCCCACCCCCCCATCCACTTCCCAAGGAGGGTGAGGCCTTTCATGGGGCAATCATCAAAGTCTGTCACATCATTTGCGGGAGGGCCTAGGATCTCCCCTGTGTGAACGCCTTTCTTTAAAAAAAAAAAGGAAGGAAGGAAGGAGGAAGATAGGAAGGAAGAAAGGAAGGAAGAAGAAAAAGAAGAAAAACACAAATCAGAAATACTTCCTGTTAGGTTCTGTATCTGATGGAATTTATAAGGAAAATTTTTTTAAAGCTATGAAAGACCAGCATTCAAATTACAGCTATTGACAAGTCACATAGCTTCTTGTGCTCTTGAGACACAGTGGACTAGGAGAGTATAAAAGTGAAGCAAAGCTTGGGCCTGGCAAGGGTTCCTTACAGTAGTAACTAGCATCTGGGACTAGTTCTAAAGAATAATAGGGATTCCTTAGGCAAAAATAAATAAAGGAATAAGACTGATGTAGCAGGATGACAAAGATAAAGGCTAGGAAAGTAGAGAAAAAAATACCTGCTTAGGTGTTTGAAGTATCAGAGAAACAATAAAATATTTCAAAGGGGAATTATATGAATTAAGATAATATTATGTGACATGATATGACACTATCTGGTATATGGTAAATATCCTCTGTTTAGCCCAGAGATTCATTCCTTAAAATAAGTTTGTCCTAAAGGATTAAACTTCATTATTGTTTTAGAAGATCTCAGGATCAAATACTCACTTGTAGTGACTGGCTACACGTCTTTTTGTGAGCCTGGGCCTTTAAAAGCTGAGCCATCTCTCCAGTCCTGGGCTGCCTTCTTAATGCAGTTAACCCCAGATTTGAGGTCTGGGTCTCAGATGTATCATTCAAACATACTCACACACCTAACACCCAAATTTTTCTTTCCCAGTGAAATTAATAACTTCACCTGTAAACAGTAAGAGATTCAAGCATAAACAGTAGGTCAGTTATTCAGAATGGGATTTCTATCCTACAAAATAGTCAGATATTCTATTTTCTTCCCAATTCTAAAACTAAATAATACACATCTATTAGACTGGCCAAAATCCAGAATGGGGCACCACTAAATGCTAGAAAGGATGCAAAATGATAGGAACTCTCATTCATTAATTGTGGGAATGTGAAATAGTATACTTTGGAAGACAGTTTGACATAATTAAAAAAAAAAAGGAAGAGAAAACCCACAGTATTTGTATTACCACACAATATAGGAATTGCACTCCTTGACTTGTAACTAAAGAAATGAAGATTTATGTGCCCCAAAAAACCCGCTTGTGAATGTTTATGAAAGGTTTGCTTATTTCTGAGGTAGGTTCTCATGTAGCCTGGGTTGGCCTCTAATATACTACGCAACCAACAATTTCCTTTTTCTTTCATTCTAATGCCTCCACCTCCCAAATGCCAGAATTGTGTGTCTGCCACCGTGTCTAGTTTATGTGGTGGGAAGCCTCCCAGAGCTTCATGCATACAAGGCCAGCACTCTTCCAACTGAGTTATATCCCCGGCCCGTCTATGATGCTTCGGTGGAGGAATGAGTAGATCAACTTCAATATACCCAGACGGTGAAATATTCAGCACTAAAATGATAAGCTAATTGTCTATGAAAAGAAAGATGGAGTTTAAATAACTTAACTTTGCTACATAATTGACGAGGTTAAGTTCAGCAATTATAACACATGTTCCACCCTGACTGGGCCCTCCCACATCAATCATTAATCAAGAAAATAATCCACAGACATGCCCACACGTCAATCTGACAGAGGTAATCCCTCTCTTGAAGTTTCCTTTTTCCAGATGATTCTAGTTTGTGTCAAGTTGGCAAAAACTAACTGTAACTGTAAGGTAAAAGGGCCAGTCAAAGAAACCTACTTTGGCCCTGACAGCAGAGCCAACTCTGACCAACTGAAACACAAAACCAACCAATCCCTAAGCACCCTGACTCCTGAACCCAGAGCCAGTGAAAGAAACACACCCAGGATCTGTAACCTTAACCCCGAGAAAGAAACACTTAATCTCTGAATCCAGAACCAAAGAAAAATACCCTGACTCTGAAACCAGTGCCAAATAAACACACCCTGTCCCTAGAATCACAGCCAGTGAAAGGAATACACCCTGACCCTAAAATTAGAGCCAAAAGACTAAACTGGACCAGTGAAAGAAACAGTTTGACCCTGAAATCAGAACCATCTCTGACCCACTAAACTAGCCAATCCCTGAACAGAAAACTAATCCCCCCCCCAGCAGAAAAACCTTTCTGTGGGAAAGCTCCACCCCTAAGAAGCCCTATATAAGCCCTTTTGTCTGTTCAGTAGCTGGCTGCCCTTTCCCACCTTGGCAGATGCCTCTCTCTCCTGGACTCATCCTTCCCAAATAAATCTCTTTTTCAAAAGAGTCTTAGGTGAAGATCTTCATTTGCCAGTGCAGATAGAAAAACTTGCTGAAACATCCCTTAGGGGACTGGGCAGAAAAACCTTGCTGAGATGTTCCTTTGGTCGGGATGGGGGTGGGGGGATGCTGAGCAAGGCTGAATAGAAGGAAGACCAGGAGAAACTTTCTGAGATGTTCCTTTAGGGGCTGAGCAAGGCTGTAGCACAAAGCAACAACTTTCCGCCAAAGCTGGAGGGGATTGCTACATTTCTGCAGGGGCTTCCCTCTCAGACTGAGAAGGGCGGAAGAAGTGCTTAGCTCTGCTAGGACCTTCGCTTAGGGGAGCAGAGCAGAGCTCAGCTCTAACAGCCCTCTCTAGGAGAGGAACAGGATTGCTATATCCTGTGGGGAGACCATCGCCCACCACACCCCAGCTTCAGATAGCCTGGCTTCCCGACAAGTTAGGACACCTTTCCCTCCAGGGCTGAGTTATCCTATTGCACGAGGGCTGAGCTGCCCCATGGCGGCTCTTGGTAGCTTGGCTTCCCGATAAGTCAGGACATCTTTCAGCTCCAAAGCTGTAACACCTATACTCGCTTACATTTTGATGTCAAAACCCAGCACTCACACACTCTTACAATAACTGTCACCGTTAAGTTGTTTTCATGCCTTTAACATCAGATAAACTCTCACAGGTTTCAGGATCTGGATCAGTGAGCCATGTTTCTAAGCTGCTTTTGGTATGTGGGCTACGAATATAGAATGAAAATTACAAATACACTGTAGGTCTAATGTGTTTCCAAATAAGAAAAATTTTAACTCACTGTTTGAATTTTTTCTTTAAAAAAAAAAACACCTTGTTTTCTTTTAAAGATTTATTTATTATGTACACAGTATTCTTGCACACCAGGAGAGGGCACCAGATTTCATTATAGATAGTTTGATATACCCGGTGGTTACTGGGAATTTAACTCAGGATCTCTGGAAGAGAAGCCAGTGCTTTTAACCTCTGAGCCATCTCTCCAGTTTTGATTTTTTTCCTTATGTCAAGTGCATTAATAAATTAGAATACAAAGTTGACTTCAAAACAGGGTTTCTCTGTGGCTTTGGAGGCTGTCCTGGAACTTGCTCTTGTAGAGGAGGCCGGTCTCAAACTCACAGAGATCTGCTGCCACTGCCACCACACCTCACCCCCTCAAGAACTTTGTTCTGACTTCATTACTTAACAAAGAGGGGGAGAGGGGGACAAAGAGCAATAGCATGAACACACATGCTCCCTCGGGAAATTCCAGAACATAGCTCTCTTCACAGTAGAGCCAGCCATTGAAAACTTAAGGATTCTATCAAATACATTTATGACATAACTCCCCAAAGTACAGAAGAACAAAAATGGGGGCTGGAGAGATAGCTCAGCAGTTAAAAAACACTTGCTGCTCTTGAGGCAGACACAGGTTCAGTTCCCATCATTCACTTTGTGGCTTACACTCCAGTTCAGGGGATCTGGCATCCACTTCTGGGTCATAGGAAAGTTCATACATAAAGAAATTGGAGAGATCTAATACTAGCAACTTAATAGTACACCTAAAAGCTCTAGAACAAAAAGAAGCAAGCTTACTCAAGAGGAGTAAATGGCAGGAAATAAATGAACTGAGGGGTGAAATCAATAAAATAGAAACAAAGAGAATACAAAGAATCAATGAAACAAAGAGTTGTTTCCAGACTAACTAAAAGGCAGAAAGAGAATATCCAAATGAACAAAATCAGAAATGAAAAGGCGGACATAACAACAGACACTATGGAAATCCAAAGAACTATTAAAATCATACTTTAAAAACCTGTTTCTCCACAAAATTAGAAAATTTAAAAGAAATGGATAGTTTTCTCAATAAGTACCACTTACCAAAGTTAAATCAAGATCAGATAAACAAGCTGGGCAGTGGTGGCCCATGTCTTTAATCGCAGCACTCAGGAGGCAAAGGCAGCTGGACCTCTGTGAGTTCGAGGCCAGCCTGGTCTACAGAGTGAGTTCCAGGACAGCCTACAAAACAAAACAGAGAAACCCTGTCTCGAAAAACAAAAACAAAACAAAACAAAAATGACATCATGGAATTTGTAGGCAAATGGATGGAACTGAAAAAGATCATCATGAGGTAACCCAGACCCAGAGAGACAAACATGGTATGTACTCACTCATAAGTAGATATTAGATGTAAAGGACAATAACACAATCTGCAGGCCCAGAGAGGCTAAATAATGAGAGCTCAAGGTGGAATGCATGGATCTCCCTGGGAAGGGAAAATAGATTTTGCAGGTGGGCTGGGGATGGGAACAGGAGGGACTAGGCAGAAGGGTAGGGGAGAGATGGAGGGAGAGTACTGGGAGAGATGACTGAAATTGTGGGGCAGTTGGGGGATGCTGTAGAAACCTAGTGTAGTGGAAACTCCCTGGAATCTATGAGTGACCCTAGCAAAGTCTTCTAGTAATGGGGGATACAGAGCCTTAACTGACCATCTTCTAAACCAGGCAAGGGTGCTAGCAGTGAGACTGGAACATCAACCCAGCCATAAAACCTTTGATCTACAGTCTGTCCTGCCTGCAAGACATGCTGTAGCAACGGTGATGTGGAATTTGTGTGAGTGGCCTACCAATAACTTGTCCAACCTGAGGCCCATACCATGAGAGGGAGCCCAAGAACCTGATCCTGCCTAGGTGGCCAGGAACCAGAGGGACAGCCCAGAGACCCAAGATAGACCTAAACACAACTGGCAAAAAAAGAAAAATAGGTCAATGAAATGATTCCTAATGACATTCTGCTATGTTCATAGATTGGTGCCTAGTCCAAATGGCATCACATTGATGTCATCCAACAACTGATGGGAGCAGTTGTAGACACCCACAGCCAAACTCTAGATGGAGCCAGAGGAACCCTGAAGAAGATGGGGAGGCAAGACTTTAGGAACCACAGGGGTCAAGGACACCACAAGAAAACCCACAGAATCAACTAACCTGGGCTCATAGGGGCTCAAAGACTGAACCGACAGATCCCATCTGGGTCTAAGATAGGTCCTCTGCATATTCCTTATGGTTGTGTAGCTTGGTGTTCTTGTTGGATTCCCAACAATGGGATTGGGGGTGTCTTTGACTCTTACTTGGGGCCCTTTACCTCCTACTGGGTTGCCACATTCAGCCATGATATAAGGGTTTATACCAGGCTTACTGTATCTTGTTAGGCCATGTAAGGTGGATATCCCCGGGAGAGCTTTCTTTTTTTCATAAAAAAGGGAAACAGAGGTGTTGATCTGGTGGAAAGGGGATAGGGGAAGGGACTTCAAGGAGTGGAGGAAAGGGAAACTGGAGTCCAAAATAAAATTTAAAAAGGTGACAAAATAGAATTTTGTTTTGTTTTGTTTTTGAAGACAGGGTTTCTCTGTGTAGCACTGGCTGTCCTGAAACTCTATAGATCAGGCTGGCCTGAAACAGAGATTCACCCGCCTCTGCCTCCTGAATGGTGGAATTAAAGGCATGTGCTGCCACCACCCAGCCAGATTGACATTTTAAATCAGGTCTATGGTTGGAGGGATGGCTCAGGAGTTAAGAGTACTGTTTGAGCTGGGCGGTGGTGGCACACACCTTTAATCCCAGCATTTGGGAAGCAGAGGCAGGTGGATCTCTGTGAGTTCGAGACCAGTCTGGTCTACAAGAGCTAGTTCCAGGACAGCCTCCAGAGCCAGAGAGACCCTGTGTCAAAAAACCAAAGGGGGGGAAAAAGAGTACTGTTTGCTCTTGATGAGCACTTAGTGTCAGTTTCCAGCATCCATACATGGCAGCTAAAACAACCATCTGTAAGTCCAGTTCCAGCTGATCAGACACCCTCTTCTGGTCTCCATGGGCCCTGCACACACATGGTGCACAAACATCCATAAAAGTTAGTAAGCCTTTTTTTAAAATTATTATTTATGTGTGTGGGTGTTTTGCCTGCAAGTATGTCTGCACCATGTACATGCTCAGTACCTGAGGAGGACACAGGAGGATGTGAACAGTTATGAACTGCCATGTTGGTGATGGGAAGCAAATTCAGATGCTCTGGAAGCCTGTAACTGCTGAGCTATCTCTCCAGCCACATTAATAAATCTCCAGAAAGAAAAGTAACAGAATAGAGAACTGAAGTCATGTCTGAGGCTGAAGAGATGACTCGGCAGCTCCTTTCCAACCATCCCTTCCCTGCAGCCCACTTCCTGTTACCCTTGCAGTCCTAACATCAAGTTCCTATTTATTACTGGAAAACGATGAGGTCATAATATTGTCATAGTCAATTCACTGTTGTTTTTTGCCACCCTCAAACCATAACAGCTGACATCAGTCCCCTCAAAGCCTTGTCTCGTTATAGGATCCTGGCCCAAAGCCCATGTTCTTTCATCTGCAACACTGAGTGTATATGGATGAATCTTCAAGTGTAAATTCTCTTAATATTGAAACCTCTAAGAAAATAAGTCATGCTCCTTTCTTCCCTAAACATTCAGTAGCTGAGAAAAAAAATAATTAGAACCCCCATCCAGATAAGGAAAAGATATGTAACCATCACTAGTGCATAGCAATAAAACTATGGTCACTTAGTATAAGTGATTGCCTCCAAAATGGTTTTCATGAATTCTCATTTACATGAGTTACATAATGCTTAACTATCAACTAAGGCTGAGATTGGGCCATGATTCTTAGAAGACAGTATAAGGTGCTCTTGGGATTATAAAAGATAAGCAAGCATCCATTTATATTATATCATCAAGCCTCATACATTACAAAACCAAGTAGAACCTTTCCTTTTCTTTTTTTTTTTTTTTTTTTTTTGGTTTCTCTGTGTAACCGCCCTAGCTGTCCTGGAACTCCCTCTATAGACCAGGCTGGCCTCAAACTCAAAGACTGCCTCTGCCTCCCCAGTGCTGGGATGAAAGGTATGTGCTGCCTCGAACTAAACTAGTGGATGAAATACTACCATAAACCCTCCCTCTGCTTTCATAGCAAAAATCTGTCATAAGAAACTCTTTACTAGCCGGGCATTGGTGGCACACGCCTTTAATCCCAGCACTTGGGAGGCAGAGGCAGGCGGATCTCTGTGAGTTCAAGGCCAGCCTGGTCTACAAGAGCTAGTTCGAGGACAGCCTCCAAAGCCATAGAGAAACCCTGTCTCGAAAAACCAAAAAAAAAAAAAAAAAAAAAGAAACTCTTTACTAACTTCCTATAGGATTCTGTAGATATCATTTCATGTCACCTATGGAACTACATGCATATTTCTTTTACAAATTAAAATCTGATGACACCGCTGAAGAGATGGCTGAGTAATCAAAGAGGATTGCTACAAAACTTGAAGATATGAAGAACCCACGGGGCAAATTGTCCTCTGACCTCCGTATATGTACCATGGCACACTTATATACACACGATAAGTATAAGAAAAAAATCTGATGACAAAGAAATGCTTCCCTTCATTCTGACTGCCAAATCACTTATAAAGCCAAATCTGAGGCTAATGTCTCAGCTCTATACTCTAAACATCGATTTTCCCAATTCCAACTGACCTTTAACTGATGTTTCATTTTCCCCTTTCTGGATAGTTTGGTGTTAATACAGCTTGCTGCTATCCTGTTGCCTCTATAGCATTAGTGAAATCACTGTATAAAATACAGTCAGAATAAATAAAAACTGAGCACAAACAATAAGAAAACAATGGCAATAGAACTGCTACAAGTATGAATACCAACTTAAAAACATTTCAAGAGTTATTATTTATTTGGGGGAGGGGCACATACACACACGACACAGTGTATGAAAGGAGGTCAGACAACAACCTTTGGGAGCCAGTTCTCTCCTTCTATTAAATGGGTTCTGAGGATTGATCTCAGGTCATCATGCCAGATCACCAAACATTTTTTTTAAATGTACTTATTGAGTGTAGTAGAGTATACTTTGTACCACAGCATATGTGTGAATGAACGTCAGAGAATAAACATGTAGAAGCTGGTTCTCTCCTTCAACAATGTGAGTCAGGGGTATCCAACTTAAGCTTGCAAGCTTGGCAGCAAGCACCTTACCTAAGTCATCTCACCAGGATTCCTCTTTTTTTTTCTTGACAGTGTCTCATGTATCCCAAACTGGCCTCAAACATTCTACTGTAGCTGACACTGACCTAGAACTAATCATCCTGAACACTGGGATTACAGGCATGTACCCTGTACTCCATTTTTTGTGGTGCTGTAGGTAGAACTTGGGGTCTGTGCATGCTAATGGAGTACTCTACTGACTGAGTTACACCCTCAGGTCCTGCATGGCAGCTTTGACAGTTTAAATAAAGATTCCTAATGAAGGCAGAGATTGTCACAGAAAAACGTCCTGAAAGAGCTCACAACTAAGAAAGACACACTACCTGTTGAGACATGAGAGTGAGGAAACTGCTCAGGCGAGAAACAGATGTTAAGGTCCAGGATGAAAGAGCACTCAGAGAACTGCAATAAACCAGCTTTGGTTTTTTTTTTTCCCCCTTTGGTAAACCACTTGGTCAGAATAGAGGGAGGGTGTTTCAGGAGTGATGAGCCATGACACTGAAGAGGTACTTTAGATGCCACATTAAGAACGTTTGGATCCTAATCTAAAAAGCATGCCTAGAAATACAAGAACAGTTTACTCAAGAAAAAAAGACCTTCAAAAATGATGACAGCTACCAGGTATACTGAATAAACACAACCCCTAAAATGATCAGAGAAATATCTCCATCCTATCCTTACCCCATCCTTACCACCTACCAATACTACCATGTAACATTCTCCTTTAACAATGGGATCAATCCCTGGCAGGCTGAAGGGGAACAAGGAAGGAGACGCTGGGACTCCCAGACTGCCCATTCTCTTCTCCATTTGATAGGTGGACTTACAAGTAGCTCTACAAGAAAATGAAGGAACTCTGAAAGCCGTTTGTCTCACCCCAAGGCAAGCAGCAAGACCATTAAGATTTTATGTTTCCAATTGTTCCAATCACAGTTTCTAATACAGAAACAAAACCATGCAGTGTTTCAGTCCTGGCTTCACTCTGTTTCACAGAGATTTGCATTTCTGAGTTCTCAGGCTTCAACAGCAATTCAGTTAAGAAGAGACAACCAGTATCATCCTGAGCGCTGAGATAGGCTTTCCAGGGCTGTGCCCCGGCCCTGCTCATTGCAATGGTCTGAACGTTCACTACTTTTAGAGCCATTTGGAGAGTGTCGGGCTGGACTTCTCCCTGCCAAGAAAACACCTGTTGATGAGCAACTTTGAGGTTAAGCCATGTTTTCTCAAAATACTCAGCAGTAAGCTGGAGATTGGGGACCAGCATGAGAGCTTCAGAATCAGGAGATGCTTGTGTTCCTTCTTTGTTCTCCTCAGAAGTCAACTGACCTAAAAGAGTCAGAAAGCTTTTGTAAGAGATGCTCTTAATCAGCATTTTTGCTTAATATTCCAAAACACCCAATGTGCTGCCAAACATGGTGGTACCCACTTGTACTCCTAGTACTTGGGGTGGGGGATGAAAGCAGGAGGGTTAAGGGAAGTTTTGGGTTAGCTCAAGGCCCTATTGTGTCTCATAAACATAAAAGCAAAACACATTTATACTGTGACTTCTGTCTTCAGATAAATGGCTTAAATAACCAGTGATGAACTCCCCTCACAAAAGATTCAAATTCAGGCAACAGTCTGAATTCAGCTACGGTACTTTACTTCCACCAGTCACCACAAGGGGCGGTGGAAAGCTTTCCCATGACAGGATGTAAGGTAAACAATATTTTTACCTGATGTGGCCAAGGATGCATTGGCAGGAAGTTCAAGGCGATGACGCTCTATCTTCTGGCATTTAGAGATGATTGCCCAGTGGGCTTTGCCATACACTGGCACCAGTGTGTTGAAATCTGAAGCCCAACTATTCACAGGTCGTTCTGGCAGATCCTCCAAAAGTCCAAGAGAAGGGTCAGATTTAGGACTATACAGGATCTGCTTAACTTTATCAACACCAACTAACAGGAGGCGATAATAGAAGAGACCTCGGTCTCGTACAGCCATATCCTTCTCTTCCTCTGAGAGAAAAGAAGGGATTGAGTTAAATAAACAAGCAAACAAACACCCTACACTCCGCCACCCAACTCTGTGTCAACCATAAGAGGAGAGAAAAATGAAGAAGGTAAGATATATTAGAAAGTATCATATCCTTCCCAAGTCCCAGACATGATTTACCAGGACTTTTAGCATGAGTCTCAGCAAGTACTATTACTCTGGAAAACCTACCTATGCAGTAGTGCAATAGACGTCCCAGCATGTCTTGGCACTCAGCAGGGCGTGAGAGGAAAAGGCGCATTAGTGCAGTCAGTAGCTCCATCTTAACAGCAGGAAATGTCTCAGACTTCACATTTTCTACAAAGTCTTCCAACACATAAGGAGCATTGGGGATTTTTTCCCCATGGACCCCAAGTAACCAAATAAGTGCCTGTTTTCCCTAGGAATGAGAAAAAAAGAGATACTTCATATATGGCTGTCCAAACAGGGGAAATAGTAGACAGTCACGTGTTTTGCTTTTCCCTCGAGTCAACAGATAAACTACACCCTTTCATTGGTATCAATTTTGCACTGTATGGCCTGCTCCACTACTTCTCTAAATTAACAAGAATGAAACTCTAATGCACAGGGGCTTGGGGTTAGGGATGCAGTGCAGTTGCAAAATGCCAACTTAGCAGGCATAAGACCCTGAGTTTGATGCCCAGAATCACACACACACAAAACCGGGTGTGAGGTCCAAATAGAAAAAGAAAACAAAAGCCAGGCGGTGGTGGTCCATGCCTTTAATCCTAGCACTCAGGAGGCAGAGGAAGGCAGATGTCTAAGTTTGAAGCTAGCCTGGTCCAGGGCGGTCAAGGCTACACAGAAACCCTGTAGGGTGTGAGGATCACATTTATAACCCCTCACTCAGCTGATAGGGGCAGGAGGATTAGAGCCCAAAGTCAGTCAGCTTACACAGTGAGTTTAATGACAGCTTGGTCTATGCAAGACACTATCCTGGGCTATGTGAGACACTATCAAAAGGAGACTAAAAAGAAAAAAGAAAGAAAAAAATGCTATAATGCAGAAAGGGAAACTCAAAACTTTTGTTAGCCTATGCTGTTTAAGCAATAAATAAAGCTTTCTCAGTTTGGGGCCTTTTGCCCAATATAAGGTTTAATGTTTCTTCCTTTCCTTTCTGTTTTTTTTTTTTTTTTTTTTTTTTTTGGTATTTATGACACAGGGTTTCTCTGTATTGTTTTGGAGGCTGTTGGTCCAGCCTTTTGTTTTTTTAACTATGCAGCTATAGCTGTTGTGGACTCAGTATGTAGATCAAGATGGTCTCAAACTCACAGAGATCCACTAGCCTCTGCTCCTAAGTGTTGGAATCCAAAGTGTGTGCTAAGATTTCCAATATAAACTACTGCAAGAATTTCTTGAAATCTTTTTATGAAAGTGGTTACTAACTTAGAATATACACCAGAATCATCTGTGACAAGCCCATCTGTCTAAGTCTCCCTACCCTAGATATTTAATTTAGCAGACTTTGTGGGGAGGAGGGAAACAAATTTCTGTAAAAATCCCACAAACAAAAAATACCACACAGGCCAGACATGGTGGAGCACATCTTTAATCCTAGCATGCAAGAGGCAGAGGCAGGCCAGTCTAGTCTACATACTGAGCACCACACCAGCCAGGGCTATATAGTGAGACCCTGTCTCAAAAACTGACAAACATAAAAACTACCATCAATAAAAAAATTCCAAGGTATAAATCTCTGACTCATAATTATTCAAGAGGACAATGGCATCAAAGAATTTGCTACTGAAACTATAGATAAGTCTCCTTTTTATAATTTTTGGGTTATTTGTATCCCAAAGAGAACCTGAGACATAAGCAAGCCTGAGTTCTTACTTGGACACAGGTTGTTAAAAAGAGTAATTAGGTTCTATTTCAGGGTTAGAGATTGTCTCAGTGGTGGAAGTGTCTGCCTAGCCTGAGTTTGGTCCCCAGTACCACAAAACCAAACCAAATACAAACTCCATTTCAGAAGGCAGGGTCCTGTAATCCCTTCTATGATTACAAGTAAAAAGAGAATTATATTCTACCTCACTGTCTTGAATGTTCTCCTCACAGCCAGGCAGGGCCTGACACACAGCTTCAGTACACTGAGGGCACAACCAAACCAGGTCTCGGAAAGCCTGCACCACCACTGCAATAGAGCCCAGGACACAAGAGCACAGGGTTAGCAAGTTCATGCAGGAAAGAATTCTAAGAAGAGTTGTGTATTTGGATTTGATTTCTGACTGAATTTCTGGAAAACAGGTTTCAGAGGGGTGGTTATTAATTAATTGAGAAATGGAGATACACATGAATTTTACACATATCAAACTGACATGAAGATAAGTGAATAAATAGAAAAGCACTTTGTAAATACAATGCTGTGGACAAATGTAGATAGTGTTGCTGACAGACACTGAACACAGTTCTGAGACTGATGGCATGAGCAGGGTGCCTAAACTGCAAAATTTAAGAAGACACATGACACTTGGCACTTATATAACCCTGAGGATAAGATCTTCCTAAATTTTGCATTGTAGGAGCCTTCCTTGCCTCACTTCAGCCTAGTCTTGGAAGCTGAATGAAGCTCTTTTTGAGGAGGGGTAAAGATAAGAGGGCTTCCTGGTACCTTCATTATCTATAGTATAGCCCTGTCACCCCAAAAGGCAGGAGTCTACCCTATTAAATCTAAAGAGTGCATGCTTCTCTGATAGCAACAGATGATGATGCAAGGACATGTGTAAGCCTATATAACTGAAATTCATTTAATAAAAGAGATTTTTTTAAACAACTACTGTTTGCTGGGTACTTGATTAAGAGAGAGAGAGAGAGAGAGTGAGAGAGAGAGAGAGAGAGAGAGAGAGAGAGAAGAGAAGAGAAGGAATGAATAAAGGAAGGAAGGAGGGAGGTAGGTAGGTTGATTTTTTTAGGAAGGCAGGCATTACCTGTAGTGATGTGTTCTTGTCGGAGGCCCAGCAACTCTGTTAGAATCTGAACACACTGGTCTGTGTAAGTCTTGGCAATGCTACCTACAGAGGATGGAAAGGTGAAATTCTAGCATGTTCTAAAACCATTTCCTGTTACTCAGAGGCGAATGCAAATTGCACACCAGTAATCCCAGCAGTTGAGAGGCTGCAGCAGGAGGATCACAAATTAGAGGCTAGTCTGGATTACACAGCAAGACTGTCTTTATTTGTTTGTTTGTTTGTTTTTTTACGAGACAGGGTTTCTCTGTATTGTTTTGGAGGCAGTTGGTCCAGCCTGGCCTCGAACTCACAGAGATCTGCCTGCCTCTGCCTCCCGAGTGCTGGGATTAAAGGCGTGTGCCACCACTGCCCAGCAAAAGACTATGTTTTAAAAATAAAAAACACGCCTATAGGTATGTCTGTAACAGTGTTTCCACAAAGGTTTATCTGAAGAGGGGACCCATCCTGAATATGGCAGGCACCATTACACGGGTTGGGATTCCAGAATGAATTAAAAGGAAAAAGTGAACTTAGCACCAGAACCCATCCTTCTCTACTTCTTGAATGAAAATGTATGATGACCAGCTGCCTCACACTTCCGCCATGGTGGACTGTATTCCCTCAGACTGTAAGCCAACATAAATTCTTCTCTCCTTAAGTAGCTTCATATCAGGTATTTTGGTTATAGGAACAAGAAAAATAACTAATACAGCAACCAAAGTCATCCTTAAAAGAAAAAAAATCATTAATTACAATTGAGTAAAATACCCACTGTTCTTTTTATTTTTTGTTTGGTTTTTCCGAGACAGGGTTTCTCTGTATTGTTTTGGAGGCTGTCCTGGAACTCACTCGGCAGACCAGGCTGGCCTTGAACTCACAGAGATCCACCTGCCTCTGCCTCCCGAGTGCTGGGATTAAATGCGTACGCCACCAACGCCCGGCTCCCACTCCCACTGTTCTTGATTGCCTTACAAGACCATAAGTTGTTATATATATATATTATTTTGGATAGAAGATAACATAAAGACAGTATAAATTTTAAGTATTGTTGTTCAAGTTACCTATATTGTCTATCTTGAGAAACATCTGCCTTGATTTAAAATAACTCCTTTCCCTTGTATGTAATCACTGACCCAAAACATGACCCAAAATGATGATACTTTGTCTCTGAGACAAGATTCATTTACTACTGTCCTCTCTGGTTTCCCTGACTACGCTGACCTTGGGTCACAAGAAGTACGGGCAGCAGGTACTGAAGAGCCCCAACAGTTAGCCTCCCCAATAGTTGGAAAATTACTAAGTTATCCTGTCCTTGAACGTGAGCAGCTACACTTAAACATTTTCCCCTGGTGGTCCTCAAGGACTTGAAAATATTTCCCAGACCTCAGTCCTCAAGGACTTGAGAACTTTCCCCAGACCTCAAGGTTCCAGGTCGGTCACAAAGTTCAGTCAGGGCACAGATGTTGCCTAAGACAGATAATGAGCCAGTCAGCCAGACAGCCACAAGCATACGTGATTCATGAAGGTCTGGCACCAACTTCCAAGCTCCCCTTGTACCCCCACCACCCCGTTTGCGGTTTTAGGCTTTAAAAACTTGCTGTAATTTCTGCTCAGGGTTCACTCCTTCCTAAGGCTGCTGAACCCCGGCGCACCGGCTTAATAAAAATCCTGTTGCATTTTGCAGTGAACTTCGGCTCCCAGGTGGTCTTTGGGGCGAGGGTCCTGAGAGAAAGACGGCAGGGTCTTTCAGTACTATACCTATGGCAAGGATGGCAGCCTGTGCAAAGTCTGCAGACACGTCAGTGCAGTACCCTCGGAGTTCTCCCAGCACCTGCTGCACATTCTCATCATTCACCAGCTCACACAGCACTTCCACCTTCTGTAGCTTGATATAGTGCGGCTCCGAGTAAGAGCAGAAAAACTTTTTGTAGTGGCTGCTGAAGTGACCTGGCAAACTATGCAAGACTTGGCGAACATGACAGAGGGCAGCAAAACAGAGCTCACGGCTCTCTGAAGAACAGGCAGCTAGCAAGGGTCCCTTGACTCGTACAAGCACATCCGTTTGTACATGGGGGAACTTTTTTGCCAAGATCAGAAAAAGTTTGGTGGCTCCCATCACCACAGCTATGCTGCTACTCTTGAGATAGCTGTCCAACAAATTGAGAATATCAAACAGTTCCTCCTCACTTCGAGGTTGGTAGCGGAGCAGAAAGTTCAATACCTCAGCCTGGCCCCATTGATCCAATTTTGACATTCTGTCCAAAATGAAAACAAAGCACTATTTTAATAACAAATAAAACATTCTCCATACAACTACCATAAGCCAAATGGCTATTCATCATAACAAAAGGGGAAGAGAATTCTTAAAATACAGTATGACATCTTCTTCCCTCCCTCCCTACCTCCCTCCCTTCTGAGACAGGGTTTCTCTGTATAACTAGCTGTCCTGGAACTAGATCTGTAGACCAGGCTGACCTCAAACTCATAGAGATCAGCCTGCCTCTGCCTCCCAAATGCTGGGATTAAAGGCGTGTACCACCACCGCCTGGCTTAAATTCTTTTTACATTTTAAAATATAAACTTTACAGCCCACAATAAAGACTGTTTAGATAGTGCAGTGAGGAAAGTTGTTACCAAGCTTGTGGACCTAAATTCAATCTCCAGAACTCACATGGTCACAGACACACATACACCCCCCACACACACACACACACACGATAATAATGAGATTTTTTTTTAATTCTAAGGTGCTGGAGATATGACTCAATGGGTAAGAACATGTAGTACTCTTCCACAGGATATGAGCTTGTTCCCCAGCAAGGTGGCTGGCAACCACCCATAACTCCCACTCCAGGAAGTTTCAACCCCTCTGGTCTTTGGGGACATCTTACTTTCATATGCACATATCTAGACACACACACACACACACACACAATTAAAATAAAACATTCATCTTAAAAAGAAATCCCAAGACAAGTTGATAGTACAAGTGTATACCTGTCTAAAACCAAAGATATGATCAATATATAACAGATCCAAAGTCTCTACGTTAATTTTTTTCCAGTACTGGAGACTGAACCCAGGGCTCATATATGCTAGCTAGTGAGTGTTAGGATTTGGTGGTGGTGGTGATTTTTACAGACAGGGTTTCTCTGTGTGGCCTTGGCTGTCCTAGAACTTGCTTTGTAGACCAGGCTAGCTTCAAACTCACAGAGATCCACCTGCCTCTGATTCCCAAGTGCTGGGATTAAAGGTATATGATACCACACCTATCACTAGCAATTATTTTACTGCTGAACTATATATTATACCTCTAATTTCAGATTTTCTATATTTTTCCTAAGGTTTATTTTTATTTATGTGTGAGTATTTTGCCTATATTTAAGTGTATTGCATGCATGCATGCCTAGTCCCCCTAGGAGGCCAGAAAAGGGTGTTGGATAACCGACCTGGAGTCATAAGCAGTTGTGAGTCACCATGTGGATGGTGGGGATTGAACCTGGGTCCTCTGAAAGAGCAGTCAGTGCTCTTAACCACTAAGCCATCTTTCCAAGATCCCAGATTTTCTAAATATTAAGATAAATGGCTCAGTTTGGGGGGACATAATAAGTACTACATAATGAATTTATCTTCACAGCTTGTTTTTACATCTTTACATATCAAGAAAAATAAGTCACATAAAAGAAATTCTCTCAGTGAAATATAAGGAAATTAATAATTGCGGTAAACTTGAAGTTACTTCTGGGCGGGCAAGATGGCTCAGCGGGTAAAAGTGTTTGCTATATAAACCTAATGATTTGAGTTCTAGTGGAACCCGTATGAAAGTAGGAGAGAATCACCTGGCATACGTATACACAACCCACAAATCACCACCCTCATCATACACAATAATAAAGTAAGACTTAGTTTAATTCACCAACAAGATCTTACCATGATTCATAACTCATAATAAAAAGAGCATCCAAACCTATTTAAGAGATGGTGGGCAATGGGCTTATTAATGACAACACCTCCTTCATGTTTTAAAATTTCCTCTAGAGACCTCAGACAGTTCACAACCACAATTGGATCCTGGTCACGCAGGAGACTGTATAACTCATTGACTAGAGCGCCATCTAAAACAAAGATCAAAGAGTCACAAATAAAAGAAAATTTGAGTCATAGGGCTAGAACCAGAGTAGCAGCTCTGGGCAGACAAAGTTATATCTCTGCTAAAACAAAATCAAAATTAAAAACAAAAACCAAAGGCAACAAATAACATCATTTTGGGTATCAGACAGGACACATAAATTAAGAAATCAATTTCTTTCAAAGACTGAAGAGCTAAAACAAGAACAGATGAAATTAAAACAAACATCTGATTTAGGGAAATATGCACAGTCATGGAAATACATTATAATTTTCTGCCAAGCAACATAGTTTTTTTCTTTCAAAATTATATACACAATAGAGACACAAATAAACATTGAGCATGGTGAATGCTCTTACCCACTTCAGAGTCTCCATGAAGATTATGCATCTTGGCACAGCCAAGGACAGCAACTCTTCTGACATAGGAAGCTTTATCCCGCAGACCATTAAGAACAGGCTGTTGGATATATTCCTGTACACCAGGCATCCTAAGAAACACATCCTGGAGTCAAGCAGAGCTTGAAATACTAGTTTTGACATAAGTAAACTCTTCTTCAACTAACAGAGGTTTAGTTTAAATTTAATAATTCATGTTTGAATGTTTATTTATTAGGTCACAAGAAATTGGAGGGAGGCTGGAGAGACGGCTCAGAGGTTAAGAGCACTGACTGCTCTTCCAGAGTTCAATTCCCAGCAACTACATGGTGACTCACAACCATCTGTAATAAGATCCGATGCCCTCTTCTGGCATACAGCAGGCAGGACACTGTATACATAATAAATAAAATAAATCTTAAAGAAAATTGGAGAAAGCCTCTATCAAATTTAAAAGGCTATAATTTGACTTTTCTTTTAAGAATAATGCTACAGTCAGCACAAATTGTTACAATAATAACTAATTAAAATTTTTAACTGAATGAAACTCAACTATTTTACCAAGATAAAGGAAAACCACCTTTAATAAAACCATGAGATACAGTTTAGAAGGTCAAAGTAAGGCCGGGCGGTGGTGGCGCACGCCTTTAATCCCAGCACTTGGGAGGCAGAGACAGGCGGATCTCTGTGAGTTCGAGGCCGGGCTGGACCGATAGCCTCCAAAACAATACAGAGAAACCCTGTCTCATAAAAACCAAAAAAAAAGGTCAAAGTAATAACTGAAAATCTGAGTTCAAGGAAGAACAGTACTTTCCTGAGTATTAGGGACTTAGGCTGTCCTCATTAAAAATCTGCTAACTCATTAGCCACTGAGGACCAGACGGGAGTAAAGTACTCACCTGAGGCTACACATACTCCGGAGTGCCAGTCCTCGAACCATTGGGTTGGGGTCTGAGCAGTCTTTGCATAGTGTATTGATGGCCAAGAGCGCCAGATCTGGTTTCAAAGGTGCATATGTGCCCATATACAGATAAACCAACTTTTTCTGAACAATATCTACAGTGGCACTGGCCTTCACCATTTCCATGAAAACACCAGACATGTCCAAGCCCTGAGTCATGTGCCTGGAAGGAATATACAGAGCAGGAGGAAGTCAAACACACAAGCCCCAATCTATAAGAGGAGTTTTATTTATACATGTTCTAGTTATCTAAATTATGATCCTTCAGAGAGCTGTAATTAGGTCTACCTTGTCTATTATACCACACAAAACTTCCTATTATGGGCCTGCAACTGTTACTCTATGTGTTCAACTCTTGATTCCTTAGTACATTCCAATGAAATGATATGGGGATGGTACATTCAACTTTAACATTCCAGAGACATGACATGGAGATAACATCTTTCAAAGGTATAGGCTGGAGAGGGAGTTCAATGGCCAATTGTTATTTCTGTTGCTCTTCTAAAAGAGCTGGGTTCAGTTCCCAGGACCCACACGGTAGTTCATAACCATCCATAACTACAGTTCCAGGGGATCTGACGCCTTCTGACATACACAGGCACCAGGTATGTATGTGGTGCACTTATAAATGTAGGAAAACACTCATACACTCATTTAAAAAAAAGTAAAAACAAAAACCTGGGCATGGTAATGCACAACTATAATATGAGCCCTTGGGAGGCATAGGCAGGTGGACCTAAGTCTGAGGTCAGCCTGGTCTACACAGTGAGTTCTCAGGACAGCCAGGGCTGTCTCAAATCAAAATAAAACCCAACAGAGAAGGTGTAGCTTCAGAGGTTTAGGAATTCAAGATTAACTAAGAAGCCAGCTAAGAGCATCACTGATTTAAAAATTCCAGTGTAAGTACTTGAATTAATGGACAGAACACAGACCAAATTCACATGCTACCATGGAAAACAGGAAACATTTCACACAATACTTTAGCTAAATGATCACCTCCCTAGGAAATGTGATATGGCTAATGATATATGCTATACAGCATGGACAAGAACTGAACATTCAGCCAGATGTTGGTGGCGCACGTCTTTAATCCCAGTACTCGGGAGGCAGAGGCAGGCGGATCTTTGTGAGTTCAAGGCCAGCTTGGTCTACAAGAGCTGTTCCAGAACAGCCTCTAAAGACACAGAGAAACCTTGTCTCAAAAAACAACAACAACAAAAAAAACCTGAACATTCATTCCTTGGGTGACATGATAAAAAGCTTAGACTTCATTCCATTGATTACTGTTTCTATTGTGGAACCAAACTACTGCACAGAATCAGCTGAGACATTTGTTTAAAGTACAGTCCCAGGATTCTATCTCCTCATAATAAAATCAGACTCAATCCCTGGGTCACACTGTTTAAAAAGCATCCCAAGCAAGTTTTGTGTCCTACTGACATTTTAGAGTTATAGCTATAGATTAATTACGTGTTCAAATATATATAATAGAAAACCTCTAACTGCAGTAAGGCGACAAGGCCACTTGCTAATAAACTACACAACAGGCTTTGGTAATGACGGCCTGAGCCAACACTACAGCCTTAATAACGAAGAGGATAGCTACAGTGTTTCATGCCGCCTGACACTAGAAGAGAAGGGTAATGTTGTCAATGTGGATCATCATGCTTAGTGAGATACCTGGTGACATTCACAACACAAATACAGGCAGAATAGCAGGTTTGAGGAGAAGAATGCTGGTATTATTTTGGTCATATCTTCAAAGAACTATCCAGGTAGAAATTGCAAGCAAGCAGAGAAATATATATATGTCTGAATATTAAAAAAAAAAAAACTGGCCGGACAATGGTGGCTGCACACTCTTTTAATCCCTTTGATCCCAGCACTCGGGAGGCAGAGGTAGGCAGATCTCTGTGAGTTCGAGGCCAGCCTGGTCTACAAGAGCTAGTTCCAGGACAGCCTTCAAAGCCACAGAGAAACCCTGTCTGGAAAAAACAAAAAAGATACAACTGCCTTGTATGAAGGTTCATTTACGTTTTCAGAGTGGTTGCCGGTAGACGGCCCTGAAGAGGATTAAAAGCAGGGCAGGATAGGGAAGGTGGAGGCGGGGGTTAGAATTCTTAGGTGGGTTGGTGATACCTAATAACTCGCTGGATGACATTCCGGTAGCGCAGCCTATCAGCCTGAATATGAGGGTTACACAGAGCCTTCTTCAGTTCCTTCACCACGTCCTCGGAGCCAAGGTATGGCATCTTCGCCAACAGTCAAGGGACAGTTTCCACAGACCCGTGTGGGAACTCGTGGGCTCCTTCTAGTCCCGGTGTGGGAGCCTGAGTAAAGGAAATTTGGTCAGTGAAGACACTACAGGCGAGGTGGTGTCACTTAGCAGTGCCTTCCCCAAGGCGGAACACAAACTTCACCCCTCGGGCGTCTGGCGAGCCCCGACCTTGACCCTTCAGGCGCCGACCCGAGCCCGGCAGGCCGCTCGCTCTGTCCGGCAGATCTCCTCAACGATCTGTAGGCTCAGTTAGGCATGCGATGCCCACCAGCGAAAGGCAGACTAATCACAGCCTCCGCCTCCAGGACTAGGAGCCGAGGCCAACACACAACGCCCCAGCCTGCTTCCTCCGGAAATCCCGCCCCCTCGCCCTGAGAGTCACTGAAGCCGTGCCCCAGACGCGCCGAGCGCCGAGCGCAGGCCGGACCGACCTCAGGACGCCCTTCCCCCACCCACTCACCTCTTGGCGCAGGCGCGCGGCTCTCTGGGCAGAAGCCGCGGCGGACCATCGGAAATCGGCTACTTGAGTCTGCCTCCTCGCCGCCGCGCGCACTTTGTCAAAGTGTGGGCCTGGCTTCCCGCGCGCGGGTGTAAGCGAATGATGCTGTCGGGGCTCCTTCCGCTTTCACTGTGGCCGTCCCGGGCGAGGCCACCTTCTTTTTGCTCACTCCGTCTACTTCTTCCGTCTCTGGGTTGTTTCTCCCTTGTTCTTGCGCCTGCATGTGGTCGGGACGCTATCGTGGAAGCCTCGCACAGGAGTGCGGTTCTCGCGAAGACCCCACCGGTGACTTGGCAACCGTGCCACCATGAACGGGGTCGTAATCCCGCAAACGCCCATTGCGGTGGACTTTTGGAGCCTGCGCCGCGCTGGTACCGCGCGGCTCTTCTTCTTATCCCACATGCACTCTGACCACACGGTGGGCTTGTCTAGCACGTGGGCACGGCCCCTCTACTGCTCCCCAATCACTGCCCACCTCCTGCATCGTCGCCTGCAGGTATTGGGGCTGGATTTGGCCTCTGAAACCCAGTTCAGGAACCTGGGTGGGGACTTCTGATCTGTCGCAGTGGGCGCCTTAAAAACTGAGTTCTTACTAACGTGGGAGTTAATCCCGGAATAAGACTAGCCTCCAGCTGACTGGAGATTGTTAGCTGTAAATTTAGACAGGTAAATTATTCCTATCTTTTCATAAATGCTAAGCCATTGTCTCCCCAATTTGCTTTTAAGAATCCACCAGACTGAGATGTAGCTCAGTGCTAGAGCATTTGTTAAACATGCCAGATAAACATGTGCAAGTACCCTAAATTAGATTCCCATCCCCCCAGTAATTCATCTGCTAAATTAAAACACACACAAAATAAACCTATTAGTTAACCTCTGCTCATCTTGCCTGAGTAGTAGATATGTATGGCTGGCATAATTCCCGGCAGCCTGACTGGAATTTCCTGACAGTTGTCTCCCATCCCGGCTGGGATTACAGTAGAAGAAAGTTTGAGAATCTTTGTCTAGATTGTTTTCAGATCCTGAGTATAAATCATTCAAAGGGTGGGGAGCCAGAAGAGGAAGGCTGGATTGTTTGGGAATTCAGTAACAGCTTGCATGAGAGTGTTTCAGGACTTGGTATTAGTCCCTGATCCAGGAGGAGTCTGAGGTACTCTGGTGACCAGCTGTTTCCTTAGGTGTCTAAGCAGTGGATCAGAGCCCTGGAGATTGGTGAGAGCCATGTATTGCCTCTAGATGAAAGTGGGCAGGAAACCATGACTGTAACCCTTATAGATGCCAATCACTGCCCTGGTTCTGTCATGTTTCTCTTCGAAGGGTACTTCGGGAACAATTCTCTACACAGGTGAGCCTCCCCCAGGGTGTCCCTCTCACTTTCCAGTTGTATAATTTCTTTCTTTCTTTTTTCTTTTGATTTTTGGGTGTTTTTTTTTTTTTTTTTTTTTTTTTTGGTTTTTTTCCCCCCCTGAGGCAGGGTTTCTTTGTGGCTTTGGAGGCTGTCCTGAAACTAGTCTTGTAGACCAGGCTGGTCTCAAGATCCACCTGCCTCTGCCTCCTGAGTGCTGGGATTAAAGGCATGCGCCGCAGCCACTGCCGCCGCCGCCGCTGCCACTGCCGCCACCACTGCCGCCACCACCACCACCCGGCTGATTTTTGGTATTTTGGTAGCTTTGGAGCTTCTCCTGGCACTCACTCTGTAGACCAGGCTGGCTTCAAACATACGGGCATCCACCTACCTCTGCCTCCCAAGTGCTGGGATCAAAGGCGTGAGCCATCACCACCTGGCCCAGCTGTGTAATTTCTGAAGCTGCCTTCACTCAGAAGAATAGGCCTTGTAACTTTATCCCATATAGGCACAGTGACCTTTTTCAACTAATTGCAAATTTAAACCTTGTTAAGAATATGCAAATAAGCTGGGCAGTGGTGGTGCACACCTTTAGTCCCAGCATTAGGGAGGCAGAGGCAGGCAGATCTCTGTGAGTTCAAGACCATCGTGGTCTACAGAGCTAGATCTAGGAAAGCCAGAGTTGTTACATGGAGAAACCCTATCTGAAAAACAAAAAACAAAAAAAGAATATGCAAAGTAAAAACACAAGAGCAAGCTGGGGGTGAGGGTGGTGGTGGCGGTGCACACCTTTAATCCCAGCACTTGGAAGGCAGAGGCAGGCGGATCTCTACAAACTAAAGGCCAACCTGGTTTACATAGTGAGTTCTAGAACAGCCAGACCTATGTAAATAAAGCCCATCTCTCAGAAAACAGGAAACAAGGGGGCTAGAGAGACGTCTTAGCAGTTAAGAGCACTGATTACTCTAAAGAGCCCTGGTTCAATCCCCAGCACCCACATGGCAGTTCACAACTGTCCATAACTCCAGTTCCAGGGGATCTGGCATTGTCACACAGACATACATGCAGGCAAAACCCCAATGTGCATAAGTAAATCTTAAGTCAAACAAAAAACAGCAAGCAAATAGACAAATCCACAAGTGCAGAATAGAGACATTTTTATAAAGAAGCTATATTGAGCTGGGCGTTGGTGGCGCACACCTTTAATCCCAGCACTCGGGAGGCAGAGGCAGGCGGATCTCTGTGAGTTCGAGGCCAGCCAGGTCTACAGAGCGAGTTCCAGGACAGCCTCCAAAGCCACAGAGAAACCCTGTCTCGAAGAAGCTATATTGTAGGTACAGTTCAGTGCCAGGAATCAGTTTTTCCATAAACCAGTAACCAATGTACATCCGTTGCTAAGGGTGGGAGAAGCTTTGGTCTCTGCCCCCTTCTCCCTCATCCCATATTGCTCTTCCAGGTGATTTTCGATATACACCCTCCATGCTGAAGGAGCCTTCCCTGATACTGGGGAAACAGATTCATACTTTATATCTCGACAACACCAATTGCAATCCAGCGCTGGTTCTTCCTTCCCGACAAGAAGCTACTAGGCAGATTGTCCAGCTCATTCGGCAGTTCCCACAACACAACGTAAAGATTGGTGAGTGGTTCCCTTTATTCTCTCACTCATGCTTAGTGGATCCAGATTCTTTGAAGGTTCTCATTGTTTTCAAGTCTTTGTTCAGGTCTCACCTTCCTTGTAAAACCTACTGTGATAATCTTATTTGAAATTGAACCTCCTAGCTGACTCGGTGGCCCAAACCTTTAATCCCAGCACTCAGGAGGCAGAAGCAGCCTAGTCTACATAGTGAGTTCCAGTGATAAAGACCCTGTCTCAAAAAAAAAAAAAAAAAAAACAAACCCTGCCCACTAAGATTCTCAACCCTTTCCCCAGCTCTGTCATTACATCTAGGGTCTCACATTTGTTAGGCAAACACTGTACCATTGAACCCTCTTCTTTAAAATGTTTTAATTTTTAGTGCTATAAGCATGTGCTAGCCCAGCCAGTTTTCATGGTGCTGGGACTGAATTGAGAGGTTTTGTACATGTTAGGCAAGCACTCTGTCCACTGAACTACATCCTTAGCTCCAAACTTACTCATTTTTTCAGTATTCATCACTTCCCAATGTATTCTGTACAATTTAAATATGCTGTTGCTTATATTCCCAATAATGTACACACATACCAATGTGAACTGAAACTCCTTAAGAAACCCTTAAGAGAGATGGAAAGGTGGCTCAGAGGTTAAGAGCACTGGCTCCTCTTCCAGAGGTCCTGAGTTCAATTCCCAGCAATGACATGGTGACGCACAACCATCTGTAATAAGATCTGGTGCCTCTTCTGGCCTGCAGGCATACATGCAGACATAACACTATACACATAATAAATAAATAAATCTTTAAAAAAGAAAGAAAGATAGACAGACAAAGAAACCCTTAAGATAACCAGGCGGAGGCCAGTGGTGGTGGTGGTGGTAGTAGTAGTAGTAGTAGTGGTGGTGGTGGTGGTGGTGGTGCATGCCTTTAATCCCAGCACTCAGGAGGCAGAGGCAGGTGGATCTCTGTGAGTTCAAGGTCACCCTGATCTTCAGAGTGAGTTCCAGGACAGCCAAAGCTACACACAGAGAAACCCTGTCTCAGAAAACAAGCAAACAAGAAAGATAGCCAGTTGGAGGTACACCTTTAGTCCTAGCACTTGAGAGGCAGAGACAGGGAAATCTCTGAGTTTGAGGCCAGCTGCTCTGTAGAGTGAGTTCCAGGACAGCCTGGACTACAGAGAAACCCTGTCTTGGGAAAAGGGGAAGAAGGAAAGAATGATAAGAAATCCTTAAGAGGGGCTAGAGAGATGGCTCAGATGTTAAATGCACTTCCAGAGGTCCTGAGTTCAATTTCCAGCAACCACATGTTGGCTCACAACCATATGTAATGAGATCAGTGCCCTCTTCTGGCCTGTGGACATACATGCAGACAGAACACTGTATGCATAATAAATAAATAAATCTTTTAAAAAAAAAGAAATCCTTAAGAGGGCTGAAGGGACAGCTCAGTGGTTAAGAGCACAGGCTACTCTTTCAGAGGACTCAGGTTCAATTCTTAGCACCCACCTGGCAGCTCACAACTACCTGTAACTCCAGTTCCGGGAGATCCTGATCACGTGTACATACAGATAAATTAAAGTAAAAATAAATATTTTTTAAAAAGAAAAGAAACACCTAAAAAGTAAGAAGAAGCTTTGTATATCAAGAGAAGCAGCCCCCAGTGTGATAAATACACAGTAGGCGAAGAGGCTGGAAAGGCAGGAGGGGTTGGAGTGGTATTAAGTCACTTTGCATTGAATCTAATCTCAATAAAGAGCTGTGGAATGGTTTCAAGTAGAAGAGGAACAGTATCCCACTTAACTGTCTCATATATTCCATAGTTTCCATGTTTATTGCTTTTAATAAAAGAATAAAGATTCAAAAAGAAAAAGAAAAAGCTGGGCATTGGTGGCTCACGCCTTGAATCCCAGCACTCGGGAGGCAGAGGCAGGCGGATCTCTGTGAGTTAGAGACCACCCTGGTCTACAGAGAGAGTTCCAGGACAGCCTCCAAAACAATACAAAGAACCCTGTCTCGAAAAACCAAAACAACAACAACAACAAAAAGAATAAGAATTCTACCATGACAAAAGGTTCTTTATTCCTTATGGCTGTATCCCAAGTGCCTACATAATGAAAAAGAGGTATTCAATAAATATTTGCTGAGCTGGGCATTGGTGGTGCACGCCTTGAATCCCAGCACTCTGGAGGCAGAGGCAGGTGGATCTCTGTGAGTTCGAGGCCAGCCTGGTCTACAGAGCAAGTTCCAGGACAGGCTCCAAAACAATACAGAGAAACCCTGTCTTGAAAAACCAATAAATAAATAAATAAATATTTGCTGAGTGAGTTAATAAGAAGGTTGCTGTAATTTTTTTTTTTTTTTTTTTTTGGTTTTTCGAGAGAGGGTTTCTCTGTGGCTTTGGAGCCTGTCCTGGAACTAGCTCTTGTAGACCAGGCTGGCCTCACAAAGATCACCTGCCTCTGCCTCCCAAGTGCTGGGATTAAAGGCGTGCGCCACCAACGCCCTGCTAGGTTGCTGTAATTTAAATAGGCACATGGTAAAAACAGCTGTTGCCTTGTTCTGGTGACTCCACAGCGGTACACAATATTTTGGGAACTCTTGAAGTTACTTTTTGTTTATGAAAATCAACTGTTGTTTCAAAAAGACAAGCCGGGCGTTGGTGGCTCACACCTTGAATCCCAGTACTTGGGAGGCAGAAGCAGGCAGATCTCTGTGAGTTCGAGGCCAGCCTGGTCTACAGAACGAGTTCCAGGACAGCCTCCAAAACAATACAGAGAAACCCTGTCTTGAAACCTCCCCCCCAAAAAAGTAAAAAAAACAAAAACAAAAACTAGCTTTTGTTCTAAATAACTTTTTTGGTTGCTCCAAAAATTATAGGTCCTCAAAAGAGGAAAACAAAATTTTAAAGCATATGTCGCAACTCTGAAAGGAGTTTCAAAAATGGCCTTAAGTAAAAATAATGAAAAAAAATTGTATACCTTCCAGGGTAACTAACAAACTGATTGAGAAATATTCCTAACCCTTAGGATTACTTAACTATTCATGAAGAAATACTATCTGACCATTCTTGAAGTATGACATGCAGAATTTTCTCGGAGAAGCACAATTGGTTAGGAGAGTACCTGTGGTAGGGCTTGATTAATTTTGCAAATATATAACAAGTCCTGTAATGTGCCACATATTCTATAAGCAGGGTTATAAATTTGAATAGAATATGGTGTCTGACTTTAAGGGCTTCCCGTCTATTAAGGAAGTACACAAAGAAGAAAAAGCATGTATAGAGAACAGAAAACCTTAGGTGAAATTTGGATCATAATCAATGGAGTGGATATAAAACAATTTATTTATTTATTTATTTATTTATTTATTGGTTTTTCAAGACAGGGTTCTCTGTATTGCTTTGGAGCCTGTCCTGGAACTCACTGTGGGGAACAGGGTGGCCTCAAACTCACAGAGATCCACCTGCCTCTGCCTCCCGAGTGCTGGGATTAAAAGTGTGTGCCACCAACACCTGACTTAACAAACATTCTTTATAGTTCACAGTTTAGTTGTGACCAGTAAAGTCTGAGAACAACAGTTAAATAGCATCTCCCGTACTGTCACCACAGCCACTGCTAAAGTTCATGTCTGCATTTCTTCTGTGTGAACCTTTTGGTGTTCCAGATGAGATTTCTGCTTCCCCTTCTCATCCAAGTGTTTAACAGTACTGCGATATTATTTTTTATCAAGTCATGTTTTGATCACAATGTTCTGATTATTAAAATCCGTCACTTTCCTATCTCATACTGCTCAGCCGCCCCTGCTTCATCGTCAGCATTAAGTGCTAACTCCTTTCCAGTACTTGTGTAGCCCCCTAATAAATGACTGTGGCTTGTCTTTCTAGTGTCATATCTCACTAATCATCTTTACTTTAGTAACACTGAGGTGGGTCCGCTTGAAATGTTTTCCACCATGTACCCTTGCCTTGCTAGTTAACCCTAATCCATCCTTTAAGATTTAGCTCCATTTCCTTTCAGCCAGAATGATCATCTTCCATTAATTTGCTGAAATGGCAAGCACATTGGGAAAGAGGAAATGTTCCTGATGTTTAGCCTTTTGGAAAACATGGAGTTGTTCCCTTGACTACATATATATATATATATATACATATATATATGCATATATGTATATATATATATGAATGTTCATGCAGGCGGATATTATCAACATCAAGGGACTAGGTTCTGTTCAAAAAAGAATGTCCTATAAGTGTTCCAGTGGCAAAACTGAAGAGTCTCTAGTGTTACCCAGCATGCTATTGGCATTGTTGTAAACAAGGAAGTTAAAGATAAGATTCTTGCCATGAGAACTGAAACACATTGAGCATATGAAGCGAGTGAGAGGACACAGGTGAAGGAAAATGATCAGATAAATAAAGGCCAAGGAGGAAGGTACGTAGGTTCAACTTAAGTGCCCACCTGTGCTGCCCAGCTGATCTATAAATTCATGACGTAATAGATATAGATGAGTTGTCTCTAGATTGTACAAGTGAGGTTTTTGTTGTTGTTTTTTTAAATGGAATGCTTCACGGATTTATATGTCATCCTTGTGCAGAGCCTATGCTAATCTTCTCTGTATCATTCCAATTTTACTATAAGTGCTGCCAAAGTGAGCACAATGGAGGTTTTTGTTTGTTTGTTTGTTTTTTGGGGGGGTTTTGTTGTTGTTGTTGTTTTTGGTTTTTCAAGACAGGGTTTCTCTGTGGCTTTGGAGGCTGTCCTGGAACTCACTTGGTAGTCCAGGCTGGTCTCGAACTCACAGAGATCCGCCTGCCTCTGCCTCCCGAGTGCTGGGATTAAAGGTGTGCGCCACCAACGCCCGGTGTTTGTTTTTTAATGGAAGTGTGTAATTCTTTCCCCCAGAGAAATATTTAAAATTTCCTTTCCCTCACCTACCAAAAAAAATGGATTTGGCTCAGCTGTCACCTGTTGTTTTACAGAAGTTTTTCCTAATTTCATCAGCTGGCGGTTCCTTCTGTGCCTTTATACCTCTGTGTACCTGCGCGTGACACTACCCATCATTGCATTGTTTTCCAGTCTGCAGGTGGATGGCACTCCTGGAGAGCTTAAGCCTTTTCAATCTGTCTGTTCCACAGGCCTAACACTTGGTAGATACTTTCTCTTGTTGAACTGAAAGAGTAACTGGATTTTGTGTACTCCATACCTGCATCTGCTATATATCTTAAATGTATTTCCTTCTTGATACACTTCCTGGATTGCCAAGTAGATTTTATATATTTTCGCTGAACATTTGTGGAGTGATATGATTTACTAAAGCTTGCCTGAGGATTCAGAAAGCAAAGTCGGCCACAAGCCATAGCATCCAGGCACACACCTTTAATTCCAGCAACCAGAAACTATGAGGTAGTGGTACACATCTTTAACCCTAGGACTCAGGATTAAGAGGTAGAGGGATCTCTGTGAGTCCAAAGCCACCCAGATCTACACAAGATTGATCCAGCCCTAAAGAGAAACAGCTCACACAAAGATGATCTCGGCACCTGGGATCATATCCTTTATTCTCACCATTAGGGAGATGTATAAGACAGGAGCAAGGTCTCAGTATCAGGCATCATTCTCCAGCCACATTGAAGATAGGAACATTCATTCCAGCCATGCTGAGGAGACAGCAGGATCAGCCCATTCAACCTGAGGTAGTGGCAAGAGCTAGTGACCCTCTACTTTGCTTTTCTGTTCTTCAGCTTGAAGTTTGAACCCCAGTATCAGTCACTGGGTCTTTTATTTACCATGCTACACATTTGGTTGATTAGGAGTCTTTAATATCTTCAGGCAAGCTTTATTAATCATAAATAATATATTGCCACATCTTCATTATCTTCTTTCTCTTATTTCCCCTAACCCCTTGAACATAATTTAGGACTCTATAGCCTAGGAAAAGAATCACTGCTGGAGCAACTAGCCCTTGAGTTTCGGACCTGGGTGGTATTGAGCCCTCAACGTCTGGAGTTGGTACAGCTGCTGGGACTCGCAGATGTGTTCACAGTTGAGGAAAAAGTTGGGCGCATCCATGCTGTAGACCATATGGAGATCTGCCATTCTGCCATGCTTCAGTGGAACCAGACTCACCCTACCATTGCCATTCTTCCCACAAGCCGGAGGGTACGAAGCCCTCACCCAGGCGTCCACATCATCCCTTACTCTGACCATTCATCTTACTCTGAGCTTCGGGCTTTTGTTGCAGCTCTGAAACCTTGCCGGGTGGTGCCCATTGTTCGTCAACAACCTTGTGGCGAGTTCTTTCAGGACAGCTCAAGTCCCAGGCTCCCTATACTGATGATTCCACACTCTGTGCAGCAATACATGTGTTCCTCCACTAGGAAATCAAATGTGCTTTGGCAGTTAGAAAGGAGACTAAAGAGGCCAAGAATCCAGGGTGTTATGTTTGAATCCCCTGAGGAAAAAGCTGACCAGGCTAAAGTTGACAGAGACACAAAGAAGCACAGGAGCGAAAACCTCTCACCCTGGCCTGCGGACCTTGAGAAGCTCTGCCCCCATCCTCTTCCGGCCAGGAAGCAGTTGTTCCCAGACTTCTGCAGGAAAGAATGTGATGATAAAGTCCTTTTTTGTGACTCTAAAAAGATGGCGACTGTGTTGACTGCCCCACTGAAATTTTCAATGCAATTACAGCCTCTAGAAACCAGGGAGGAAATTGGTGTAGGGTCCCACTTGATACCTAGGAGAGGCAATGGCTCACCAGCTAGAGGAAACCAAAGTGATTCTCTCTTGTCTCACATTAGCAAAAACACTCATCTAGCTACTGAGTCCAGAGGCCTGGCGCTAAAATACCTTCTTACTCCAGTGAATTTCTTCCAAGCAGGGTTCTCTTCTAGGAACTTTGACCAGCAAGTGAAAAAATACCAGGAGAGTACAGTATAACCATCCTGTTGGATCAGCATTGCAGTTTGGAAAAAAGTGGATGATGACTAGAGGCAAAAGTTTGTTTGGTATCTTCCTTTACAGAATCCTGTGACTCACCCTGGAGTAGCTCTTGTGAAGTTTGTTTGTGGAGTCCTGGTGCCTATGAAACCCTTAGCTTTATAGCTGATTATTTATGTTAGTTTTATTATATTTAACAAACACTTTTCATTATAAATTATTTAGTGTTCATAAGCACATTAAAAGTTCTTAGAAGTCCCATACCAACCCAATTTGTTCAACTTGTTTCAACTCAGTTTTTCTTAAACTTATCAACATGGAGGGTTTTTTGTTTTGTTTTGTTTCTGTTTTTTGGTGGAAAAAGAAGAATCTGAATAAAAAAAAAAAAAGAACCAAATTTGTTCCATTTCCATGTTTCTTATTCCTCGAGTCTCCTTCATTCTCTTCTTAGATAAAAAGTCCTTAGGATGTTTATTTTCAAGTTGTAAGTCATGGTGCTGGAGGTTAAGTGGTAGCCTGGGTAGCATGTTCTAATCATGCATGTCACTGACTTGCTGTGACCCTCTCCAGGTAATTTCCTGTCTCTGCCTCAGGGTGGGAACAGGAAACAATGAAGAGGCCTTCAAACTGTTGAGAAAATAACACCTTCTTCCTTCATAATGAGGGTTAGTAATTGTCATGAGAAATCCATCTGGAACAGTCTTCTGGGGACTAGGGACTCTGCACCAAGGTGGTGCATAGAATAAGCTGAACATTAAGGCCTAGAGTATGTCTGAGTACTGGATGCTTGGAAACACTACTTTGCTAAAATAAAGCTATAAAAGATAAATGTGCTGCCAGATATTCCTCTGATTGTTCACATAGCTGGGATTTTTTTTTCCATCATCCCCACCAATTTGAGTTAGGAAGCCAGAATGCAGAGCTTGTTTGTTTTAGTATCCAGGGGAGAGACCAAGGAGCCAACTGGCTGGAACGGGTCAGAGTGTGCAGTTTACTCTGTCCTGCTTGTAACCTAACAAAATGCCAAACCAACAACAAGCCAGATGACAACACAGCCCTGAGGAAATGTGCTAAGGGAGAGCACAGGCAAGGAACTGGGCACATGGACCAAAGCAGCTTCAGTGTGGAAACTTAACCCTTAGCAACAAAGGAGAGGTATCTTATCCCCGGGGTTTTGCTGCTTTGGAAAGGAGAATTGAAGAGCAAAGTAAGGTTTGCTCTTGGACATACTGTACTCAGTGCTGTTTTTGTCAGTGACCTTCCTCTTACCTCCAAGGGCCTCCCTCACAGGAGCTGCAGCAGCTGAGCCATGTGGTACAGCAGGAAACCTGGACATTGTCTGGGCTGGAATCCAGGGCACCTGGCAAATCATTTAAACAAAGGAGCCTTACTCAGCTGTAAAGTGGTAGCTGAGATGCCTATCTCCCACACTTGCTATGCAGATTAAATCATTAGTGAAATTCCCTAGCTCAGTGTCTGGTACATGACAGTATTTGAAATACTAGTTTTTGTAACTAAAGGTATAGTGCTGGTAGAATGTGTTTAGCAAGCTGGAATCCTGGATTATATCCTGAGTGCCACACACACACACACACACACAAAGTAGTAATAATAATGCAACAAAGACTTGATTCTCTTAGCCTTTGGTCTTCAAAACAATTCTCTATAAAAATACAAAAGTGCCGGGCAGTGGTGGCACACGCCTTGAATCCCAGCACTCTAAAAGGCAGAGGCAAGCAGATCTCTGTGAGTTCGAAACCAGCCTGGTCTACAAGAGCTAGTTCCAGGACAGCCCCCAAAGTCACAGAGAAACCTTGTCTCAAAAAACAAACAAACATACAAAAGTAAGCTGGGTAGTGGTGGCACACACCTTTAATCACAGTAGAGGCAGGTAGATCTCTCAACCCCCACCCCCACCTCCAAAGAAAGAAATACAAAGTAAAAATTTTCTTCATGTAGACTGGTGGGCCTTTTTCTAGTCCTTCTGAGGATTTAAATATTAAATTACACATTTTCAGAATTAGGATAATTCACACACGTGTTCATGCACACACAATGATTTTTTTTTTTTTTTTATGTAAAGGGTACTGGAGAGATCGCCTGGTGGTTAAGAGCTTTTACTGTGTTCTTGAGGATCTGGGTTCAGGTCCCAGCACTCACAGCAGGTGGATCATAACCACCTGTAACTCAAGTTCCAGGGGATCTGATACTCTCTGACCTCCATTATGTAGCTGCATACAATACACATAAATAAAAATAATTTTTAAAATGCTTTAAAGGGTCCAGTGAGATGGCTCAGTGGACAAAGGTATTATTAAAGAATTACTGTTTTCTGTTCTTGGTGTAGATAATGACAAATTGCCCTCCAGAAAAGTTTCCATTATTTCTGTAGATGATAGCAAGTTCAAATGAAATCACTAGAACGCCACATTAGCGTGTGCCAGTTCATCTTATGTTGTTGATTAATGTTTAGTAGTAATAGTTTAATATTTAGTGCTTGCCTTCTTTAAAATTCCCTTAGCTCTGTCACTTCTGGTTGACCCACAGGTGCCTGGAAGAGATAAAATAGGCCCCAGCAACAGGGCCACCACATTGCTGTTATCTTCTAGCAGAAAGGGGGCCTGCCCACTTTTAGCACATGCTGTGTCATACATATTCCATGAAACATTTATGTGAATGCAGATGAGAGCAGAAGGAAGGGCTTTGAGAATTTTAGTTTTTTGTAGTGTGTTTATGCTTTAACAATGAGAACTAAAGTAAAAATGTCTGACCAGATAGAGATGGGTAGTTGCTTTGATTTCTCAGAACTCTCACACTTAATAACACTAACTCATCTATCTGTAAGTTATCAATTAAAATCACCTTACTTTTAGAATCTAAAAATGACACCCCCTCCAAATATATGACAATCTTGCAATTAGGTTGGAAGGTGCCTGAAAAAAAGTTCCCTAGAGACTCATTAGTGACTTGTTTCCTGATCAGTGGAGAACTTGTACTTTTCCACAGGCTCAAGTCCCTTTACAAGGAAAAAAGAAATCTTCCTGGCAGGTTTTGAGGGACCATCTCTCACTACTGACCCATATTGCCCTTCGTGGTAGGAAACAGGAGACATGTGAATGACTTTTTGTTTTCTTTTTAGAAAAGAGGATCTGACCTAGGTTCTTCAAGGCAACTCTCATAGAGACAGTTCTTTCTACATTCTTTTTAAAAATTTTATCTTATTATTTTGTGTGTTTGAGTATTTTTCCTGCATATATGTCTGTAACACATGCGTGTCTGGTGCCTGAGGAAATGGTGAACCTCCATATGGGTGCTGGGAATTGAACCTGGTTCCTTTGCAAGAACAGCATTCTTGAAGAGTTTTTGCAAGTCAGGTTAGCCCTGACTATCCTGGAACAGACCAGGCTGGCCTCAAACTAGAATATCCACCTGACTCTGCCCCTCACCTCCCAGTGCTGGGATTAAGGTTGCTTACTCCTGGTTCTTGAATAGTTCTTAAGCAGAAATTCTGTGGGGGTCTACATGCACATTTTTGCTGCTACCACTGATGAGTAGTTGTCTGTCCATTGCTTGCCTTCCAAAGAACCCAACCAGAAACTTCTTCATGGTCTTTCCCTTTCTCTTCCGTAGGACATCTACCTATACCTGTATTGAATATGCTTCTCTCTTTTACCATCAGAGTTTACACTGCCCCTTGAGGGAGTCTCAAAGTGGTTCAGTTTCTCTTTTGACCATAGCACTTTTCTTTAACAATACCCCTCTACTTTAATTATTTGTGTTGAACTTTCTTTTCTATTTTATTTTATGTTTGTCAGTATGTGGGTGTGTGCACATAAGCACCCACGGAGGTCGGAGGCATTGGGCTCCCTAGAAATGGGGTTATCGGAAGTTGTAGGTTGCAAAACATAGGCTCTGGAAATGAGCTGGGGTCTCCTGGGAGAGTAGCAAGTGCTCATAATAACTAAACCGTCTTGCCACCCCCTGCTTTCTCATCTTTAAGCATACCCGTGGCCCACTAGATCACAAGAATTTCCCCCAAATCTTGGCCTTGTTTCTATTTCTAGACAGGTAGCTTTTTGAATCACCATTCAATCATAGAAAATTTCTGACTGGGTTTGGGTTAGTCATAACCAGAGGGCTGTTACCCGAAACAACCAAGGATACATTTGTCCAAGTGGAAAAGGATTGGAGTGAAATCATGGCAAGTTTCAAATGTTATGGTGAGTAAGTTTAACTGGAAAATTCTCAGACAAGGCCAGGAGCCAGAAAAAGAACAAGTGGTAGATCAGAGGCCCCAAATCTAGAGTTACACAGAGCAGAGGAGGCTGGGATGCCCGTTTTAGAACACTGAAGGTTGCCAGGCTAGGTGGTATGTTTGATCTGATTCTGGGTTCTACACCATCTTTATACATCATTAGCTTTGAATCAGTTCTGGCTTTCTTTTCAACTCCTACATAAGGAAGGTGGAACCACTCACTGGTAGAGAACATACTAGTATCACCACAAATACTAACCTGTGGTTTCTTCAAAGCTGCTTTTCATTTCCTTGTGTCCTTGATCCCTCTTGTGCCTCGGTGATTATTCCAAATCTTTATGATTCAAACTGTTGTGACATATGAAGTCTTAGGAAGAAATCTAGAGTACAAAGCCATGATACCCTGAAGTAATATCCTTGAAACAGAAATAAGTCTGGTTGCCCACCCTCATCCCAAGGATGGCAAAATTGAATACTTTTGAACTTTACAGCTTGATTTAAACCCAATAACTCAGGAGTTCAGTCTTTAAGGTCTTATCCTAAGCTATTCCTTCCTTCCTTCCTTCCTTCCTTCCTTCCTTCCTTCCTTCCTTCCTTCCTTCCTTCCTTCCTTCCTCCTTCCCCAGGCTCTCAGGTCTAAGTCTGTGATAAGCAAATTCCTCTGTCTTCATTGTCTTACAGTCTCCTTTACCTCCCATTGATAGGTTGAAGACTGGCTGTTGTCTGAGCACACTGCTTTCTGGCTAACCTCTCAAAGACAAGCTATTTTGCCAGGTGATTTTTTTGTTTGTTTTTTGTTTTTCGAGACTGAGTTTCTCTGTATTGTTTTGGAGCCTGTCCTGGAACTCGCTCTGTAGACCAGACTGGCCTCTAACTCAGAGATCCGCCTGCCTCTGTCTCCGGAGTGCTGGGATTAAAGGCGTGCGCCACCAACACTCGGCATATTTTGCCAGATGTGATGGAACATTCCTATAATTCCAGCACTCAAGAGGTGGAAGCAATAAGTTCAAGAGTTCAAGATCATCCTCTGCCACGTAACTAGGTTTAAGGCCAGTTTGACCTACATGAAGCCCTATCTTACCGTCTCCCACAGAACTGTAGAAGCCACTTTTTTCTCCCTAAGTTTAAGGTAAGGAAGTGGA